TGCAACTCTCTTTGTTGCAAGAATGAAGGTACGAGCTGGTCAGCTACGTATAGCTTATAGTCTTGAGTCCTCAGACCGGAGACCTTATTTCCGAGGATCCTGAGGACTACGTCGACTCCACCCTTGGCTGAGAGGAGGTGGTGGAGGTTCGTCCGTGGAGTATCAGTGACATAGCTGAGGTTCATCTACACCATTGTTTGATAGGGATCGCTTTCGGGGGACTCCACTTCCTACCCGACTTCGATGGGCCTGAGACGCCTGAAAATGTCAGATGTAAGGGGGGAATCCATTGTGATATGATGATGAAAAATCAGAGAACAAATACGCTTTAAAGTCTGAAAGTTTTCCTTGAGAGCAACGCCTTTTTGAAGGAGGAGTTGAATGCTCTATATCCTGATGGACTGGATACTTAAAGCAAAGACAAGAAAAGCAACACTCATTCTTTCATGGCTTTCAAAGTGCTTGCGAAAATCTAGGTCAAATGGAAAAACTGAACTTCAGATATCACGTAAACACCTATCGAGCGTGCTGCACACCTCTCGATATTTGCATAGGCCTACATATATATCCTGTCCATTGCATAGGAGCTCGATAAATTCAATTCGATTCAAATGGAAACACGGGAAAACTTGTAGATTCGCTGCAGAGTTACGTAAGCATCTGATAAATATCCAATTTCTAGTGCAAGCGGTTCTCCAGAGTATCAGTACGCGTACGAGTACGAGTCCGAGTATTAGGCAATGGAATTGCACAGCAATCGGATATGCTGCTGGCCCTGTGATGCTCTGATGCTAGCGGGAGATTCTGCTTTCCTTGAGGAAACTGCTGGGTCGTACACCTATGTATGTATGTACGAGTATGTCAGTTACCCAGTTGTCTGGAACTCAAATCTTTATACTTATGAAATATTCATAGGTTGAATTTGCGTACGCAGGAAATGTGCACATACTAGACGCACGCGGATACCCTTTAAAGAATATCATCTAGAATGTAAGTAGATTATCCATCCAAGTTTTATTATTCCAAATTTGTAGGCTTTCTGCCATTAAAACTATTTCACAGAAGTATCTTTTAGGCCACACAACTGTTTGCTAAGCAAATTAAAGATAGTTGAATACGAAGTTGGTCCCTAAAGGGGTTCCGATTTCGCATAAAAGTGGACCTATGCCAAGAACCCAAACCCAAACCCGAACCCGAACCAATGGGCCAGACCTTGAACTTAAATCAATAGCAAACAAAACTGCTTTTCTATGCTTGAAGAACGTCCCCCCATATAATCTCTAAAGGCATACCAGAAGCGCACACCGGGAATCTATGAGGAACAGCAGACAACAAACAAACCAAACAAAAAAAGAAGAAGCTTAAAAGAAAACTAAATATTACACTAGAGAGAACATGGAACAACCCCCTCTGTATGCGCTAATAGTTATCCCAGAGAGAGAGAGAGAGCGACGAGAGAGAGACGATGCCACGATACATGTAAAAAAAACTCAACTCAATCCGGACTCGCGATCGGCAAATGTGAAGTGCATTGCCGTCGTTGAGTGGGTTCTGGGGGAGAGACTGGGACTGGGACTGTGACTGAGACGAGACTCCACTCCACTGAGACTCTACCACGAGTAGCTCAGAGTGGAATGCACTATTAAATAATAGCACGGCAGGGGCGCTCGCCAATCAGTCAGTCGGTCATTCAGGTAGCGCTCGGAATATATCGCGTATACGCCCCGGCCGGCAAAGTCGCTCAGGTTTCTCAGGTCTCTCCCGCTCTCTCTCTCTCTCGTGCACTGTCAAACTGAGTGTGTGTGTGTGTGTGTGTGAGAACGTTTCTTGGGGCCTGGGAGCCTCTCGCATTTCGTTGCATTTCGCAGTTTTCGTTTATCCACTGGTAGTTTTTCTGCCAGCCTGCCTGCCTGCCTGCCTGCCCCGTTTTTGTTTGTGTATTTTTTCCCTGGGTCTGGGTCTGGGTTCTGTGTTCTGTGTTCTGGGTTCTGGCTCTATGGAGCTTAGAAACTGCAGTTCCCGTACCGCCGTACCGCCGTTCAGTTCGATTCCAACACGCGCAGCGACAACGAGCGGATCTCTTTCTCTCTCCCTCTCACTCACTCACTCACTCACTTACGCTGAACTACCGCCTGAATACGGTTTCCGATTCGCCCGGTTCGGTTCGGTTCGGTTTATATTAATTTTTGAAGCGTGCGGCGCATGCTTTACCCAGTTATTTAATTCTTTCTTTTTTTTTTTGGTATATTACAAGTATTTATGCGATTTAGCAGCGTCTGACGTACATATGCTTCCACTTCCACACTGTCGTTGTCGTCGTCGTCGTCGTCGTCGTCGGCGTCGCCGTCACCGTGTATTGTCTCTGGATCTGTGGATCTCTGGGTTTTTGTTCTGGCTTTCTGGATTTGCTTCTGTCTCTCTCTGTCTGTAACCTGATCGCAAATTACACGCTTTCGACGTGGTCGCTTCTCGTGCTGCAGCTCGGTTTTTGGTTTATTTTTTGTTTGTTTTTTTTTTTTTGGTTCTGTTTCTGGGCGAATTTTCGGTTATCATCCCCCCACTTTGCGCTTCTCAGGAATCTTAAATTCTTTTGTTTTTTGCTGATAATGCCCAAAAAAACTGTTCGACAATGAATGAAAACGTCTGCAAGAAGGTGGAGAAACATCCGAGAAACGGGAAAAAGTTCAACTATTATGTAATTTTTGAAGTGATTTACAAAGTGCTGTAATAATGGCTGTAAATAAATATGAAATAATTCCTCAAAGAATTATGTGTAAAGTGAAGAAGTGATCGACAGTGATCGATGTTGGGAAATCGAATGAATATAAAAAAACACATGAAAATACGCAGAAAAAAATTAATACAAATAATTAAATTTCCCAAAAAAATACCAAGGAAACCCCAAAAAGGACTCCCGTCGATCGTCGATCGTCCAATCGTCAAGCAAAAAGCCATTAAAGTCGATACCAAAAATTATGGCACTACGGCCCATAAAAAGGGTAAAACACGGGGCAGCCCAAAGAGCAGCTTAACCAAACAATAAACCCATTAATTAACTAAGCTACTAATTACCAAAAAAAAAAAAAACAAAGTGTTACACCAAACAAATCAGCTGCCATCAGGCGCCAGAAACTGCTAGAAAATTGGGTGGAGTGTGCGCCATAAAATTAAAGTGAAGTGAAACAAAAACCAACAAGAAAATGCAAAGGCAGCAGGCAGCAAGCAGCAAGCCCCAAGAAAATCTATTAGAGAAGTGCCCTGGCCAAAAGAAGAGATAAGGCCGGCCCGCACCGAGGCCGCATACTGACTGAGAGAGAGAAAGAGAGGGAGAACTGTTGTAAACGAAAGTGCATTCAACCAAAAGTTAACACCCAAATTATCTGGCAGTCGTGTGCAGGTGAAGGGAACCAGATCTGGGTTCGGATCTGCCAGGCTCTGGCTATGGCGCACAATGTTATTACTATAGATACAGATATACATATGTATCTATGTATCTATGTATGTAGTATATAAACATTGATACGATCCACACGAGTGTATGCAGCTTTGTAGTGGCGTTTTTTTCATTGTCAAAGTAGTGCCTCTTTTTATTCCCGCCATTCGTCGTGTCGTGTGCCAGGGTACATGGGCTTTGGGGGAAAGGGCTGAAGAGCCGTACATCTTTTGTTGATCAAACATTTGGGGAACATCTTGGGCTTGGGACCACGTATGGGACCACGTGATTTTTTGGAAAAGCGTTCCACCAGGAAACGGAAGGACTTCGATTGGGCCCCCGTTTTGCGCATTTTTCGTTCATGAAATGTCAATTCCAGGTACCCACGTAGTCGCAACAATCGATGCGTTTTTAATTTGTTATTTTTTTATTTTTTTTTTTACTTGTTGGCTGACAAGTCTCGGACGCTTGCGTCGCGGGTTTGCGTCTTTTAAACGTCATCGTCAGCGTTTGACTGAGGTCTGAGGAGCACTCGCTCCGTGTGTGTGTGTGTGTGTGTGTGTGTGCGTTAGTGTGTGTGAGTGGCACGGTTGTGTGAGTGCGCGTGTGCATTTTGTGCAGCTGTATGCGATCATGCGCCAGTCACACAGCAGTTTCCCGCTCTCTTTCTCTCTCTATCTCTCTGTAGCTCGGCGAAAAAGCGTTATTTCAATTGACAACTCAAAAACTATAAACAAAAGGGAAACGTTTCAGTTGATTCAACTTCGACACCAGGGCATTGCATACAGCACAAGACGAGGCTTAAATAATTCCTAAATAACATTCCAGCCATTCCGAAAAGGTGCTCGGTATTATTTGCGGTTTGGCGGGGCGTATACTTGATTTTCGCCTGTACAAAATACACTTTTTGTAATTATGATGCGATAAGCAATTGAAAAATATCATCGCAAATCTTTTGTTGTGATTTTTATACACAGAGAAAATGAAGGAATGTCGCGGAGAGAGGAGAATTTTGTTGAGTTTCTATGTAAAGATGCATATCTATGCATTGTTTGGGATTGACATTCATTCAATGTTTCCAAAGATGATCGTATGCTAAGATTTGTTAGGTTTTAGAAGGGTTTTAGACTACTCTGTTCTGTTAATGATGTTCTCTTGAGAATTCCCCGACATAGACAGAATCCATAAGCAATGATGAGTTGGTGGAGGAATTGATGATCTGTCGATGAAGTGCTCATTGCATCTGTTGATTTATTAATTGATGGAAAACCCTCAAACGTCAAGCCCCAAAATCGGTTTCAGTAAGTCCCTAGCTATCGAGAATCAATTACAGTTCTCGGAAAAACATAAACTGCTTGAGAACCGGTTAAATGGAAAGGCCTTTAACCCTATCAACTGAAAAATCAGTACACAAATAAACTATATACTTAAAAAGCGACTTATAGATAGACATAGATAGAGAGTGAGAGCGAGGGAGAGGGATAGGGGGATAGAGGGATAGGGAGAGCCTGTCTAGCAAAATAAATCAATGAACGGCAATTGGCAAGAGATAAAAATAACGAAAATAGTGAACAATTTAATTAAGTCAAGTTTAAAGCAACAGACAGCTTAAAACGAAAGAGACAGGGACAGAAGCTGGACAGAGACGAAAAATATTACAAGTCAGAGCTTTGCGAAAAGGCGGAACGTAGAGGAAAGAAAGCGAAATAGAAATAGTGGATGATGGCTGCAAAAAAGAATAGGGAAAAACAGCAACAGCAAAAACAACAACAACAAACGGCTCATATGAGTATTGGGTATTATCACACACACGCACACACAGAGACAGAGGCAGAGGCAGAGGCAGCAGCAGCACGAGCAGAGACACAGATACACAGATACACAGATACATGGACACTATGCTGTAATCGTCGCAATGCAATTAGCATTGGAAGCAAAAGCTCAAGTTCACTGACAAAGAAATCAAACACTCACACAGAACGAGAGTCAGGGACAGAGAGGGAAACACACAGAGAGCGAGAGTAGGAGAGTGAGAGAGAGGGAGAGGGAGAGGGAGAGCTAGTGATAGACAGATAGAGAGGGACACACGCATGCACACATGCACATTCCGGGTATGCGATAATTTTTGTAACCGAGCGAAGCTTTACAAATGCAATCAAATGACGTTAGTTCCCCCTTCAGACCCACAGAGCGAGATAGCGACAGCGAGAGTGTGAGAGAGTGTCGGCGGGAGAGCAGGCACGCTCCACAGATAGATAGATAGAGCGTGCAAGTGGGACAGCGGAAGGGAGAGAGAGAGAGTGAGCTTACTCGTGAGTAGGTCAGTCAACGATCTTCGGGCCGGGCCGGGTTGAGTAAACTTGCCTTGCCATTGCTCTGCACTCTGCAGTCGCAGTCGCACTTAGAGCTCCCCCCGCCAACCGGCCAACCGACCAACCGACCAACCAACCAACCGACCAACCGACTTTCTGAGCTTTTTATTTGTTTGCATTTTTCTACCCCACTCATTGGCTTCCGCATTGCAAATAAATATATAGTACATACGTACATACAATTAAATAACAGCCAGAATGCTGTCAATGCCAAATGTTTAATCTGTCAGCAATGAGCGGGCTTTCTGCAGTCGATGATAGATAGTTCATTGAATTGTTTTGTAATTCGAGTTTATCTCGTTTGGGGGGTGAGCGATACCCGTATCGCTTAAGAGATGTATAAACAGAAGAGCGGGAACACTTTGATCAGATATCTATTTCTTTAGACGCTGTGAACAGCGGACATTCGATCTGTATTCGGTTTCTGCCGTTTTTCTAACTGCTTGCCCTGAAATTCTGAAAGTTGGCTGCCCTGTAACTCTAAAACCTCGCTTTTGTAGAAATATGAAAGCGGTGGCTGTGAGACTGCTATCTTCTTGCCATGAAACTCTGAAAGCTAGCTGCCATGAAACTCCAAAATCTCGCTTTTGTAGAATTATGAAAGAGGTGGCTGCGAGACTGCTAACTGCTTGCTATGGAACTCTGAAAACTGGCTGCCCTGAAATTCTAAAATCTCGCTTTTGTAGAAATGTGAAAGAGGTGGCTTTGAGAATGCTAACTACTTGCTATGGAACTCTCAAAGCTGTATGCTATAAGCACTTACGGCTGCTTTCTGGGGGCAACTAGTTTATTCCTGAGCCGTCAGCTATTATGTAAATACCATTCGCTAGGCAATAAAGTATTGGAAGTATTTGCCACTTCATCCATCCCTTACCCACACATTAAACCGCTCAACTGTCAGTTAATTGAGGAATCTAGCACTATAAGGATTTCTATATATGCAGCCTGGGACTTTGTTGGAATATAGTCTAGAAAGAAGACAAGATTAAAACATGTCGAGTATTTTACTTATACTTGTTTGTAAGAAGATCTGCTCTCCTCCAAATGAATATATATTTGACCCAATAACTGCCACTAATGGTTCTATAATCGAACGCGACAGAGTTGGCCGTAGTCCACATTCCTCAGCTTAAAGGCAACCCCTTCAATCATCATAATACCCGACACTCTATCGCTGTGTCTCTACCTTTTCGCTCTAAAGCCAAACCAAAACCAAACGAACCGCACTAATTGCAATACGAGCCATTAAACGAGTCATTGGCAATTATATGCTGGCGGGCTGGGCTCTGGCAACAGTTTGAGCCACCAGCGGGGTCCGAGGCCAAAGCCAGAGCCACAGCCAGAGCCACAGCCAGAGCCAACAGCTACTTACGGTTAACCAGCAAAACACTTGGCCAACAGAGAGACGGGGGACAGGGCAGGGCAAGGCCGGGCAGGGCAGGGTACTTGGCTTTGATGTGTGGCGAGTATTTAAAATGTTTGTGTGTCCCTTTGGTGTGGACATATGGGAAATTATGAGCTGCGTTTGGGGTCTAACCGGATTAATTACAGCTCCTGCATGCCGACAAAGAAGCGAATATCTCTCGCTTCCGCTCCCGCACCCGCTCTCGCTCTATGTTTCTGTATTTGCGTTTGCGTGTGTGTTTCTGTGTGATTTTAAGCTGCTTTGCAATTTTAATTAAAGGCTGATTTTATCCTGGCTTTATCAACTTTAAATTGGTCCAACTTCGACGTCATTGGCTCGTGTTGTTTGTCGACATCGAAGAAGGTTTCCCTGCTATCCCGTGCCATTTTAAAACAAAGTGCATTTCAGAGGCTTGCAGGAACCTTTGACATTTTGATGGAAACGAACGAAAGTTTTCAAGTTTCTGTTGAGCAAGAAATTGCTTTCCTTTCCTTTACTTTCCACGGAAGCCCTGCAGCTGCAAGCCTGGCAATTAAAACGGAATAATTGTGGAATAACTGTGTGCAAGGAAATCATTTTATGCAGGGCAACAGAAAAATCCACCTCCGTAAAGTGTATGCGAGACTATGGAAAAAATGCAAAATGAATATGCAAAAAAATGTGTGCAATATGTAAGCGAATGTGTGGCTGATATATAAATAGGGCTCGGTGGGGGTGTGGGTGTGGGTGTGAGTGCGGGTGCGAGTGCGAGTGCGATTGCGGGGGCACACGAGGCACAGCCGCGTCATGAGGCAATGTCTATATACAGCCAGGCAATTGGCCAGCTGCTGCTGCTGCTGCCACACATCTACAACAGCCATGCAACCACTCCGGCAGTTCGCCACTCAACCCCTCCATCACTTCTGGCTAGTTCCTGCCCCACCCCGCACCACCGCACCGCACCACACCACACCCCACCCCGATGGCGACTGGTTGTTATGGCATTCGCTGAACGCATTTTGTAACATGACAAAATAGCGTAGCATACATTTCAGGGGTTGCAACTGTGCAACACGCTGCCCAGCTCTGCCCTACCATGCCAAACCATGGCAGGCCCGTGCAACGATTGGGGCACGCCTGGCTGGCAGATTGGCCGCCTGCCTCGGCTCGTGTCGGGTACGGGGCGCCTGCGCAGGCGCGGCTTATTGTGTCTGTGGCATCTTATGTAATTCTGCCTGCCACCGAGCAGCGGCAGCGGCAGCAGCAGCAGTGGCAGCAGTGGCAGCAGTGGCCGCAGTAGCAGCCGCAGCAGAAGGATGATGCTGCTGCTGCTGCTGCTGCTGCCACCGAGTGAAACGAGACCCAAAGTGAAAACCAAAGCCGAAACAGAAACTCAACTGCACTTGTTGCTGTCGGTCCGCGTCGTGGAGCAACATTTACTCGAAAATCCGAAAGAGCGACGGCAACGACTCGGTGGAGAAACTTCCAAGGCGCTACAAAGCGAAGGATATATAATGGATATTTTTTTTTTGAATCCTTTCAGTTGATCAAAATGTGGCACACTGAGCAAGTGGAAATCAATTGTTGTGCGAACATAACCTGAGCCAAAACTTGAACCCAGACTCCAGCGAATAAACATAATCAGAATAATAAAAAACTATGTGAACCAGAAACTAATTGTCGCATTTGTGTGCAAGTCTTCAATAGAAGTTCGGTTCGGTTTTCCCTCCCCCCTCCCTCCCAACTCCCTTTGCCTCCTCGTTCTGTTCTATTGCCCGCTTCTGGTCGTATTTAAAGATTCGTTCGGTTCAAGGATTATCCAGTAAATACGAAAAATGGACGACGAGAGCGACGACAAGGATGATACGAAAAGGTAAAAACCCCTACACATTACTCACTCTCACCTACGCACCTACGCTTAGACACACCCACCCACCCATTCGAATTCCTACGGATATGGAGTACGGGTAGGCTATATGTATATGTATAAATAGATACTCGTGCAATCTGCAAGTGACAGATGACGAACAAGAGAACACGCCACAACTCAGAACAGAACAGTACAGTATGCCCGGGGAAGAAGTGAAATTTATTTATTTCTTGACAATTTTCTTTGAAATTTAGTCACCAAATAAAAGAATAATTGTCTCTAAAGACCATGGCTGTCGTCCGCTTTCATTTCTGGTCATCCTCCCCACGGATCCCCCCAATCATAGGAAAACAGCAGTTGAGGGCCCACTGGGTAATAAGTGTAAGAATAATTTGTAACTCAAGTAGCCAATGCGCCTTCGTACGCTTCTGTGGTAACCCGAGTGCCGATTCAATTTGTGCAGACAATAATTAGTTTTTCTGTTGGCTATTTACTCGATTGAATAATAACCGAAATATGTGCCGAATCCAGGACACATATCTGATTGCAGTTCTTGTAAATATACAAAATTAGTAATGGAATATCCACAGAGCGCTGGGGATCAATAAAAGATGATAGATACAAATAGCTAAAGGCAAGGCTTCCCAAGGACTCATGGGACAACTATGAGTATATTAAAATGCGGCTTAACTTAAATTTGATATATAAAAGACTAATGAGAAGTAAAAGCTTCTTTGGTCTAGAAAGACCTACCGCCCAACCGACCGATTGGCGCTGTCAACCGAACCGAACCGAACCGAAAGACAGATGTGAGACTTATATTCTTAAAGAACTAAGCATGCATTCGAAATACAAACAAATAGTGATACTAATTACGAGCATGATATGTAGTGTAGTAAAAGTAAGTAAGTATAAGTAATATAAGTAAGTAGTATAAGTAATTTAATAAGAGAAACGCGAACGTAGATATAATACGGTAAAAAGAATTATAAACCGAGCATAATACCCTTAAACGGTTCATGCAAGGAACAATTTGATCTACAAAATGGAAGGGACAACGATGTATATTTTCGGCTGGATCTAAAACGAATCGTGAAGACAGGGGTATCTACGTCACCAGCATCCTTGATCCCCAGTTAACGCCACGCCGAGCCAAAAGTAAAGTCGGATGCTCAAAAAGAGTATTCTATTTGTGATGACAGTGGATGTGTATAACGCCCAGAAGGAAGCGTTTCGAACCCCACGATATAGAGCCATAGCCATTTCGATAGAGCCATGTCCGTCTGTCCGTCTTCATGAGCGCCTAGATCTCAGAGACTATAAGACCTAGAGCTATCAAAATTTGCCACACTTCTACAAGTGTATTTCAAAATTTCGCCCCGCCCCCACAAAGATCAAATTCAAGATACGAGAAAACTAAAAAACGCAGCATCATAGAGAACAACCGTATCTAGCAAATTGCAGTATCTGGGTCAGATCGGATCATTGAAATAGCCAAAAGGAACACATGAAATTGTAGTGGCTACGCAACGCCCTCCAAGCGCTTACTCGCGGCCTCTCTTTCACACATTTTTCGTCATGCAGTGTTCGCCCCCTGGCGGAGGGAAGCCGTACTGACTGAGTATCGTTCCTGCTACCATGGTATACATAGGTTCAGAAAACTTTAAATTGGAGTCTAATATGACACTAAGGTAATTCTCTCAAGACAACCACCGCATATAGTGTAAGGAGCCAACTGGGGGCTGGACGTAGAGTGTAAGATCATCCGTCTTTAATGATGAGAGTGTAAAATTTAAATGGCCTAGATGGCTGCGCTGTGGTACTCCAGAAGAGAAGACTCTTTGAGACCTGGCTCGAAGATAGCTAGAAATCAATTTCAGGAGATTGGGCGGAAGCCCTAAATGGTCAAGACATCACTTTAAAGCTTTACTTTAATCTAATTCTAAAGTTTAGCTTACACCGACTATAATAAATTTGTTCTCCTTACCCAACGTATTCCAAACCCTGTGTGAAAAGTGTATATAAGTGTGCCAATTATTACAATTTATCAGACATTTAACCTGGGGACTCCAGACTTCCACCGTACAATATACACATAAATGTCCAAACTCAGCTTAAGAACTCCTCAAATCAAATAGACTTCCAGCTGTGTTCCAGCTTCAATTGACTCCAAAAGTAAACTCAATCTGTATGCCAGGGGGGATATTAACCGCCATGGCATACGAGTACCAACTGTCCAAACAAAGTGCCCGATTAACTGACAATTACAGAACATTTACCCAGAAAGAAGCCACATGATGACAGACAGGCTAAGGCTGAGGCTGAGGCTGAGGCTGAGGCTGAACTCCACACATTAATATTAGCCAGTTTTCGACATGCAAATGTCAATGCCAGAGTGAAAAAAGTTAACTCTAGCGCAACAAATGGAAAGTGACAAAAGGTGCCCCGACCCCTGACCCTTTTTTCCCTTGAATACACGTATTCGTATGCATGAGGGGTGATAGCATATGGGCATATATGTCTAATCAACGCCAGACAATGCCTCAATGGGACAGGCACACGTGGGGCACACAGCGGCCGACTCACCTGAGGGTTGCAAGCCTGACCCCTTGCGGGGATTATTATTAGGAAACACAAGATTATATACTCGTACATTCTAAATGGAGGAGGAGGAGGATGATGATGATGATGAAATGAGTACCCGCAAATGTTTATCATGGTTTTTTTGTGTAACTCGCAGTTTCCTTTGCAGAAAGTCACGGAATCTGAGCGAGAAAAAGCGACGGGATCAGTTCAACTCTTTGGTCTGCGATCTGAGCACCCTGATATCCACCTCCGGTCGGAAGATGGACAAGTCGACGGTCCTCAAGTCAACCATTTCATTCCTGAGGAATCATAATGGTAGTTCAACTGATTTCAACCAGCATTGTATTGCCTATTGTATGATGTCGAATGTAACTCCTTTCAAACAGAGGCCGCGGACCGATCCAAGGTTTTTGAGATACAACAAGACTGGAAGCCCACGTTTCTGAGCAACGACGAGTTCACGCACCTGATGCTGGAGTCCCTCGATGGTTTCATGATAGTCTTTAGCAGCTTGGGTGCTATATTCTATGCCTCGGAAAGTATTACCTCACAGCTGGGCTATTTGCCGGTATGTCTGTTACCCGTGTGACTATTATTGACAAATGGCAGAAACTTACCGATTTGAATCTTTCCAGCAAGACCTGTACAGAATGAACATCTACGATCTGGCCTATGAAATGGACCACGAGGCCCTCATGAACGTCTTCGTCAATCCGCCGCCTGTGATCGAGCCCCGGCAGACGGAAATCAGTGCCAGCAACGAGATATCCTTCTACAGCCATATAAGGCGCGGCGGGGTCGAGAAGGCGGATACCAACTCCTACGAACTGGTTAAATTTGTGGGTTACTTTCGTAGGTAGACGTGCAGCTGCAAAGGTCTGCATCTACTAATTCCACTTACCCCTCCATGTAACAAAAGGTAACGATCCCAACACCTCGGCGGGCTCCCGTTCCGCAAGTCCGAGCGGCAGCCAGTCTGCGCCCGTCCTGCCGCGCATCTTCCGTGAGAACACCAGCGTGGAGGTGGACAGAAAGCTGGTATTTGTGGGCACGGGCCGCGTCCAGAACCCGCAGCTGATACGCGAGATGAGCATAATCGACCCAACCAGCAACGAGTTTACTTCGAAGCACAGCATGGAGTGGAAGTTCCTGTTTCTCGATCACCGCGCGCCCCCAATCATTGGCTACATGCCGTTCGAGGTGCTGGGCACCTCCGGATACGATTACTATCACGTCGACGACTTGGACAACATTGTGGCGTGCCACGAAGAGTGTAAGTTGCACATGTTTTTCACTTTTTTACTTTTTTTGCGCGTGCACCTGCTGTTTCCTTGCATTTTGTGCGCCAAAAATCGATCAGCTTCTTCGAAAATGCACCTCTGTCAAGTTGGCAGCCCTGGACTCGGCCGATGAATCGCAATCTTCACTTAAAACACACTTTAACCATGAAAACTGCTACTGCAGCTTCACTAAAAATCACCTGAGCCATATTTTCTATGCTCCTATTCAGTGCGTCTAACAGGAGCGGAAAAATTCTCCGAATAAGATTTCGGTTTCAAACGTTTTGTTTTCCGCGCCAATCAGTTTCTGCCAGCAAATAAAAGCGATCTGGCTACGCCAAAATTCAATGGCGGCTGCGACTGGCAGGCTCTTGACCTGTCTCTTGTGATTGGAAAGGTTTCTAATAATGGTTTCTCATTATGGCAAGGGTCTCTATCCTGCTCTTCAGAGCGAAAAACGGGCCAGGGCATAACTTGTTAACAAATTGCAAAGCTTGAACGCTTATATTCGCACAACCAGCTGTCTTTTGTTTTGACTGCGATCGAAGCGATCTGGCAGCACCCAACTCTAACCACGTGTTGAATGCGGCTTAATAAAAACAAAAGCATTTAAAACAACGTTAAAAGGATATAAACTTCTAATTGGGCATCTCTTTCTACACTCGAAGTTGATGATTCAAAACTTATACTAAATTCTTTACCCTCCTCTCCAGTGCGACAAACGGGCGAGGGAAAATCCTGCTATTACCGCTTCCTTACCAAGGGCCAGCAATGGATATGGCTGCAAACGGACTACTTTGTAAGCTATCATCAATTCAACACGAAGCCGGACTACGTTGTGTGCACCCACAATGTTGTCAGCTATGCGGAGGTCATCAAGCACACTCAGAAGGAGCGCCAGCAGGCGAGCAGCAAGGACTGCAAGGCCCAGACCTCGACGGCCAGCAGCAGCAAGCCGGCGACGGCCACGACAACGCTGAGAGACTTGGAGCTGGCCAATGAGAATCTGGAGAGTAACCTGCTGGACAATAGCCTATCGAAATTGACCAATGAAACGACTGCCACCTCACCCGCAGTGGAGTCGTCACCCATGTGGTCAGCGACGGTGACGGTAGCGGCAGCGGCAGCATCGGGCTCGTGCCAAGCAAATCCTCTGAAAATAGCCAGGCCAGCCTCGAGCTATAGCAACATTAGCTCTACGGGTATCTCGCCAAAAGCCAAGCGGAAATGTTACTTCTACAACAACAGAGGCAATGATTCGGATTCCACTTCAATGTCTACGGAATCAGGCACCAGCAGACAGTCGGGAGCCAGCAGGCACTCCGTGTTGACGCATGCGAGTTCGGTGAGTAGAGCGTGAAGTAAACTTTGATTTCCTTTTACACTGGCCATTGTATCCTTAGCAAAGTCAACGACAGCGGTCACAGCTTCGTGATCACAGTCAAAGTCATAATAATAACCATCACCAGCAGCAGCAGCAGCAGCAACAGCACCAACAGCAGCAGGCGCAACAGCAGCAGCAGCAGCAACAACATCTGCAACACCTCCAGCAACAGCAGCAGCAGATCCAACAGCAGCTGCAACAGAACGTGGGGCCGCCCAAGCTGGTGCCCATGCTGCCTATCGGACCCGCACAGATCATGGCAGGCAACGCGTTTCCGCAGTCCCCCTATCCTCTGGCCAGCCCCCAGCTGGTGGCGCCTACTTTTCTGGAACCGCAGCAGTTCCTGGCAGCCATACCCATGCAGCCAGTGATAGGGCCGTTCCCGGTGCCGCCAGTCCCTGTCCTCTCGCCGCTGGCTGTGCCGAGTCAAGGGCAAGGGCAGCAGGAACTACTGCCCGGAAGTGTGGTGATGACGCCGACGCAAAGTCAGCTGCAGGATCAGCTGCAGCGCAAACACGACGAGCTGCAGAAGCTGATAATGCAGCAACAGGACGAGCTGCGGATTGTGTCGGAGCAGCTGCTGCTAGCCCGCTATACGTACTTCCAGCCCGTGGTGCAGATGGGACTCTCACCGGGCAACATAGCACCGGGCAACATGACACCGGGCAGCATGACACCGGGAGCTGCGATGCCCAATGCGGCGGGTGGCAGCGTTCAGCAGCGCGCATTCAACTTCTCAAGCACGAATGCAGTGCAGCCGCATTTTAATCAGTATGGATTCGCGCTGAACTCGGAGCAGATGCAGAACCAGCAGGACCAACAGATGATGATGCAGCAGCAGCAGAACCTTCACAGTCAGCAGCAGCATAATCTCCATCAGCAGCATCAGAATCAGAATCAAATGCAGCAGCAGCAACATCTTTTGGAGCAGCAGCAATTGCAGCTGCAACAGCAGCAGCAGAACGAAATGTTGTCGCGCGAGGACATTGAGGACATTGATGCCTTTCTCAATCTGTCGCCGCTGCAATCGCTCGAGCCTCCAGCTGCACTAAACCCTAGCCACAACAACAACCATTCCAGCTTTAACAATGGCAACGGCAACAGCAGTCAGAACATCATCGGCCACAACAACAGCAACAACAACAACAACAACAGCAACAGCAACAACAACAACAACAACAGCAGCTCGACTGCCCCACAGAATCACAACGAAGACTCCTTGTTGTCGTATATGCAGATGGCCACAAGCCCTTCGGTCAACTTCCACATGGGCATCAGTGATGATTCCGAGACGCAGAGTGAAGACAAGATGAGGATGGGCAGCAGCAGTAGCCACCTGCAGCTGCAGCAGCAACATCTCCTGCAGCAACAGCAACAGCAGCAACAACAACAACACCAGCAGCTACCAGAGTCGAGCAGTTTTTACCATTCGAATCCATTCGTCGCCCACCTACAGAATCAGAATCAATTGCCAAACGACCTGGAAATATTGCCCTTTCAAATGTCGCAAGAGCAATCACAGAATCTATTCGATGCATCAAACACAGCCCCTGGCGGAAGTCAATAACACATGTGGAACCCTAGTTCGTAAGCTCCTATAAGTTCCCCCCCCATTCACTATACGAGTATCTTGTGCATCTGTGTATTAACTAGCTGTCTCTCTATCGAACTTTCTCATGGAACTCCTTTTGGGACTAGTTGTAGATCTCAACAGACTAGGTATTGTTCTAGAGATGGATTTGGACTACATTGTGTGTGTGTGTTTGTATGTATGTATGCACGAATAGTAACGTTCTCAAAATATGTATCCATAAGTGAATTTTTTTTGCTAGCAAGTAGGAAGAAGTGCCCATCGTTTCCATAAGCCACCATTATCCAGTAAGTGCCATTGTGGCGCAAACAGGGATCTCTGATATTTAATCGAACCTTAAACCCTAAAACGTACACCTAAATTATTGTAGATAACGATTTAAGCATTGCTAATCCAATTTTATATCATTTCCAAGACTGGGCTTCCCTACTGAAGTCAATTTATTGTTTAAGATGCGATATAGATGATAGATAGATATCTAAAAACTCAGGTTGAGACTGCAACTGACATTTATTCTGCTGTCAGCATATTCCGATAAGTTCTCCTCATGCCAGAGCTTTTCCAGCAATTGAAATATACCTATGTACATACAGAAAATGTTGAACAAAATATTAGATACAATTCTGTTGGAAAAGCTTGTCCGAATATGTTTCGATCTTCAGCTTTGAACTTCCACACGCAGCCAAACCTTGTAACTTATCTTAAACTCAACTACAACTACCTTAATAACTCTAGTTAATTAGTTAACTCTGTGTTTAAGCTCTGTACATACCTATAGGACAAGTCGGAGGAACTTGCTTAAGCCTGTATATACGACGATGATAATCGATGGTGATCTAGAACTAATTTGTATATAACTAGATGTTTCTATGTTCCCCACGAGAGCAGTGTGAAAAAGCTAATCAAATCAAACGACAGCATAATAAAAGTCCAGAAAACGGATACACTTTTCGTAATTATTTATTTAGCATATACAAATATACATAAAAATCCCAAAGATCTATAGATAGAGAGAGTATAGTATAGTAGAGTATATAGTATAAAATAGAATGGAATTCAGACACGTAGCTTGACAATGGCATTCTGAAGAATCTGGAACTCGGAGTTGATGTTGTTCATCAGATTCGATATCTGCGGCTTCGAGTCGAGCACTTCGACACTCTGCGTGTAGGCATTGTAGCGGACACCGAACGGACGTGGAATCGAGTTGGCAAATTTACTAAAAAAGAAAGTGTAAGCCAAAACAAAAGAACAAAAAAGGCGGATCGACTTACATAGTCTTTTCCTTGGCACTCTCGAAACTGTCGGCCACATAGTAGAGGGGCTGGAACTGTGTGATCGGATACTTGGTAATACCAGTCACCTCTGGCTCAAAGTCCTTCAGCATGGGCTTCTCCGTCAGGCAGTACTCCAGCTCGCCGTAGGAGGAGAGCAGAGCAGCACCAAAGGCCTTCAGCTCACCCTCCTGACGGCACAGGCCATACTCCACAGTAAACCAAAAGATCTAATAGTTACAAACGATGATTTAATGGAGATTGGGAATTGGGGAGGCAAGTAGAGAGTGTAGCCTACCGTTGAGAGCTTCTCAATGTAATCATCTGGTGCTCCGAGGGAAGCCAAGCCAATCTCCTGACTGAACTGGGCAAAAGCAGGATCGGCAAAGAGGGGAACGTGGCCCAGCAGTTCGTGGCAGACATCGGGCTCTGGGGTGTACATGGGCTTGCTGGGATGCCGAATGTACTGAGTGGAGTGGAAGACGCGGAAGGCCAGGCCGGCGAGGAAATCGCGGGAGCTGAGCAGCCCTGCCACAGGGCGAAGGGTGAAGCCAGTACAGTCTGGGAATAGAGAGCCAAAAAATTGTAGAAGCTTCCTCTCTGCAGTGTGTATGAAAACGCACCCCTCAAAAAGTTGGAGACATCCTCCAGCTGTGGGATATTGTCCTCCCTGAAGCCACAATTGTCCACCAGCAGGGGAAAGACATGATTGTACTCGCGACAGGCGTGGGTCTTGTAGAGCTTCGAGAGATTGCGGAAGATAATGCCCCAGGTCTCGATCTCCTCCTTGGAATACTCTACATGGGGTAGAGTCTCGCCATGCTTGTAGTTGTAGGCAATGTCCGCGAAGTACTTGCGGCGCTTGCGGTACTCCGGGTCGGTGAATCCGGGATGATCGGAGTCCAGTTCGGCGCCATAGCTGAGGATCTGATTGGCAAAGCGATCCAGATCGCGTATACGCCTTGGGAACCAAGGCACTGCCGTGGCATTGTCCTTGTAGTCACGCGAAATGATATTGAAATAGCTGCACTGGCCCTTCACATCCTCAATAGCCCTGCCCAGGGCCCCGGACTTGCCGTCGCACTCCACGAAGAACTCATAGCCAGGGACACGAAGCGAGGACCGGGACTCAATGTGCACCAGATTGATGTCGTGCTTCTTGAAGATGGCCAAGATATTGGCCAGGGCACCACTGGACAAAGACGAGTCCTTCGGCGAGAACAGCAGACAGGTATTCCTGGCCTCCTGAATATCCACACCCTCGGCAATATACGCCGAATCCTCAATGCGCGTTGGCTGATGGAGAGTGGAAAGATTTTCATTAGCTTTTCATTATTTCGTTATCGCTTGGAAAAACAATCCCTCCCATTGATTGACACAGAATGTGACCCAGACTGATGCAACAATCTGGGAAACACCCTCATTCCTACTCATCCCTCATGACCATCAGCGTATGATCAATACCCCACTATTGTGAGCCGATACAATCAATTGCTCAGAGCGAGGATCGAATTTCAAAGGTTAGCCAGGTCCGAAATCAAGGCGAGTTATTCAACCGCAGCCCCACGAGCTTCCACAGACTGCTGCATCATTGAAATTAGTTAGTAGGTGTATCTATGTACTATTTCTCGAGTCTCGAAGGCTTAGGTCTGACCGCAATGGCATTCAGAGCATATGGATAGCCATGGGTTTCGCCTAGAACTTGATGAGGCACGGAGAAGATTGTTATGGAGGTTCTGATACCACAAGATACGAGAACGCTTAGATCTAGTTTCTTATAAATATTCCACTTTGGTAGATCTTGTTTTGATGCAAAAACTCCAGAAAAAAAGTCACACTCAATAGGCTGTTCTATAAATATTCCTTTGTCTGGCAATCTGTAGTGTTAACCCAATTTGGTGGAAGCTCGAGTTGATTATAGATCCGCTTTCTTGCCTCAAAATAAACTTTGTTTTCACTGGCTGTATTATTCCAGCTTCCAGTACTTCTTATATTTTGTGGTTCCACTCAAGGTTAGCAAAAGTTCAAATCGGGTACAAAAAAATATATACTTGTTATTGCTATTATTATTATTATTGTTATTCTGCGGTTCACTTTCTACATATATTCATGTACATGTACGTATGATGTACAGGAACGAACCTTATCAAAGGAGACCTGACGCTGGTACATTTTGAAACGATTCTTCTCTTTTGTCTTCGCTGCGAGATGGGGAACAACAACCGAACAAACTGGCGAACGCACCGCTCAGCACACGATTTAAAACTGATTTAATTTCTCAGTTAATCATGCGCTTAAATAGACTTTTTTTGCTAGACCCCAAGCCGCACGGGTTCCATAGATAATCTCAATCTCGTGGAGAAGTGAGACGAAAACGAAAACCGAGTGGAAACCAGTCAATAATAATGCGATCAATCGGGCGAGTGAACGGGCGATCTTGGAATAGCATCCACATGCGGTCCAATCGCAGTACTAACTCTGCTTTATGGCTATGGCTATGGCTGTGGCTGTGGGGTTATCAGTTCCTGCGATAGATAGGCCTAACATCGTCTAACATCGCATGCCCCTGCTAAGGGTCGCGCTGGCTTTCTGCCTACAGTTCGAGTATGCTACATATATATATGTGTGTATATAAATACTCCCAATCCGATTTGATCGCTCTGCTGGGGTCCATGTTATTTTCAAGACATTATTATTATTTCGGCTAGTTTCTATTTTTTGTTTTCGCAAAACGAATGAAAATAAAACTGAAAACTGAATAATCTTAAATGGTTTCATAATGTGACATGCCGACAGGTTCTAACCAAACGAGTTCAACGGCATTTCTGGGCAATTATTTTGTAGTGAATAATAAATTAGAAGTAGCTGTGGATGTGGATGTCGATGTGTATGTGAAGGTGGAGGTGGGGGCCTGGCACGCGCTATATTTGCTGTTCTACAAATACATTTCATAAATATCGAGTCCACTCACCTGATTTCAGAAAGGAATAACAATCATTCTGGCTTGTGGAACCCATTTATAATAGCTTGTGGATCAGATAGTCCCATTGTATGTGATATTTTGGGGGAAACAAAAGTTGAGAGTTCATTTCAGTTGGGGAATGCCATACAGACCACAGACTTCAGATTAAACCCCAATCAAAAGATGATGCAATATTTTAAAGAGTTTACAAGACCCAAAAAATAACCCATTTAATTTTCCGCTTATCTGCAAGAACTGTAACAACAATACCAATAATAATGAATAAAAGATCGCCTAAAAAATACATTTAAAGTATTTATTTATTTAAATTAGGCATTAAAAAAAAAGATATAAAAAGTATTTGCATAAATGGCGCCTCCAATAGTATTCTACTCGTTCAATTGCTCAACGAGTAGATAGCTTATACCCCAAGTACTGGGCTCTAGAAATTCGCATTGTACCTATGCCAGAGCGAGGTGAGGGTGCCGCGTTTCAGATGCGTCTGGGGACTCGATTGCGGGCGCACGTTCTTCAGAGTACAGCCCACGGGCAGGTTGACCTACAAAATACACAAGCGAGATGCATTCGAATGAGATACAGATGGAAACCTTCGCTGGTGCGCTCCTATTACTGGCTTTGGCGTTGACTTTGGCTTTGGCCCACTTACGGATTGGTGGGCCGTCACTCGGACGGGCTCTTTGTCGGGACAGACCACATAGGACTCATGGCCATCGAACAGACTGCCGCTGGCGGCAGGCTTCTCCCTTAGTTGTGCTGGCGCTGAACTAAGGGACAGGGACTCGGACTCGGATTCGGGATAGGCAATCTCTGGTTGTGCAGGTGCAGGTGTGGGCTTGGCAGCTGAAAGAACGAGATGCTATATATTGAAATTTCTAAAAAGAAAACAGGAGATCTCTTACCCTTGACATGAATGTGGAAACTGCAGCTGAGGGTCACACCGTCAGTGGTGGTTGCCTCGTATTTGATGGCATGATCGCCCAGCCTAAACAAAGCACCCGGGAACTGAAAAGAAATCAATCGTATCATAGTCTATAGTATGTTTCGATTCGAATACTTACATGAGACTTGAAGATCTTCAATAATTTGCCTTCGAAGCGGGGCTCTTCCCAGACAACCGAACGCAGATTCTGATTCTCCTTCAGATGAACCTCAATCGAGGGTGGGCAATAGTTGGATGTATCTGAGCCCAGGTCCACCCTGAAGCTCTCACTGCGCTCGGGAGCGACACCAATGAGATTCTTTGACGTTTGAACAGAGTCTAGTCTTGGGAAGGATGCGGGGCTAGACGGGGTCGATGGTTCAGGAAGTGCAGATAGTCTGGCAAATTGAGCGGGCCTGGAAAATGTTGGAAATGGAGCTGGTTGGCGGACTGTACTCCGTGTGGGAAATGTGGGAAACGGTACGGGGGCAGGGGCTGAAGACCGGGAGGAAAATGTGGGAAATGCAACAGGTCTGGAGAACCCTGAATGACTCTGAACTGGAGCGGAGGAAAAGGTGAATAAATTGGACTCTGTCGTTGGCGCCGCCTTGATGGTGATGATCGTTTGACAGGCGGCACTCTGCCTCGTCTGTGGGTCCTGAGCGCGGAACCCAATCTTGTGGACGCCAGCCGGAAGGTGAGCCTCCAGCTGCTTGGCCCAGGCGGGAAAAACAGCCACATTTCGGTAGTCCAGATTTGTCTCGGGCCTCTGCAGAGTCACATGAGCCTTGACCTCACCGCGATGCAGAAGGATGACCACATTCTCGGGACATTTGATGTAGGGCCGAGCTCTTGTGGCTGTCTGCTGTACGGGCGGTATATTCTGCAGAGACTGCGATCGGATCCAGGGCAGTCGATTGTTGAAGAAGCTGCTGCCGAACGGCTGACAGTTGAGATCAGATCCAAAGGACCAGCCCTGCAGGGCCATGCAGGAGGCCAGCAAAGGTCCAGTAGGCACAAAGCCAGCATTGCACCGCAGGTGGCAGATGGCCCCAAAGCTGGAAGGACCCTGTGTACAGCTTGCAGGAGAGATGACACCATTGCGGGCCTGTTTCAGGGCAGGACATATCGATTGGGTCTGCACACGACGCTGGACAAGAGCTAAAACGAAGTCAAGTTATCACAGATCGGTTCGTTGGGTGATTGGATCCTCTGTCTGATACTTACGCACGCACTTGTTCTCCTGACCCTCCCAAACACCAGCGGATCCGCAACTCCTGATCTCAACAGACTAGGTATTGTTCTAGAGATGGATTTGGACTACATTGTGTGTGTGTGTTTGTATGTATGTGTGCACGAATAGTAACGTTCTCAAAATATGTATCCATAAGTGAATTTTTTTTGCTAGCAAGTAGGAAGAAGTGCCCATCGTTTCCATAAGCCACCATTATCCAGTAAGTGCCATTGTGGCGCAAACAGGGATCTCTGATATTTAATCGAACCTTAAACCCTAAAACGTACACCTAAATTAGATATTAGATGTAGATAACGATTTAAGCATTGCTAATCCAATTTTATATCATTTCCAAGACTGGGCTTCCCTACTGAAGTCAATTTATTGTTTAAGATGCGATATAGATGATAGATAGATATCTAAAAACTCAGGTTGAGACTGCAACTGACATTTATTCTGCTGTGAGCATATTCCGATAAGTTCTCCTCATGCCAGAGCTTTTCCAGCAATTGAAATATACCTATGTACATACAGAAAATGTTGAACAAAATATTAGATACAATTCTGTTGGAAAAGCTTGTCCGAATATGTTTCGATCTTCAGCTTTGAACTTCCACACGCAGCCAAACCTTGTAACTTATCTTAAACTCAACTACAACTACCTTAATAACTCTAGTTAATTAGTTAACTCTGTGTTTAAGCTCTGTACATACCTATAGGACAAGTCGGAGGAACTTGCTTAAGCCTGTATATACGACGATGATAATCGATGGTGATCTAGAACTAATTTGTATATAACTAGATGTTTCTATGTTCCCCACGAGAGCAGTGTGAAAAAGCTAATCAAATCAAACGACAGCATAATAAAAGTCCAGAAAACGGATACACTTTTCGTAATTATTTATTTAGCATATACAAATATACATAAAAATCCTAAAAATCTATAGATAGAGAGAGTATAGTATAGTAGAGTATATAGTATAAAATAGAATGGAATTCAGACACGTAGCTTGACAATGGCATTCTGAAGAATCTGGAACTCGGAGTTGATGTTGTTCATCAGATTCGATATCTGCGGCTTCGAGTCGAGCACTTCGACACTCTGCGTGTAGGCATTGTAGCGGACACCGAACGGACGTGGAATCGAGTTGGCAAATTTACTAAAAAAGAAAGTGTAAGCCAAAACAAAAGAACAAAAAAGGCGGATCGACTTACATAGTCTTTTCCTTGGCACTCTCGAAACTGTCGGCCACATAGTAGAGGGGCTGGAACTGTGTGATCGGATACTTGGTAATACCAGTCACCTCTGGCTCAAAGTCCTTCAGCATGGGCTTCTCCGTCAGGCAGTACTCCAGCTCGCCGTAGGAGGAGAGCAGACCAGCACCAAAGGCCTTCAGCTCACCCTCCTGACGGCACAGGCCATACTCCACAGTAAACCAAAAGATCTAATAGTTACAAACGATGATTTAATGGAGATTGGGAATTGGGGAGGCAAGTAGAGAGTGTAGCCTACCGTTGAGAGCTTCTCAATGTAATCATCTGGTGCTCCGAGGGAAGCCAAGCCAATCTCCTGACTGAACTGGGCAAAAGCAGGATCGGCAAAGAGGGGAACGTGGCCCAGCAGTTCGTGGCAGACATCGGGCTCTGGGGTGTACATGGGCTTGCTGGGATGCCGAATGTACTGAGTGGAGTGGAAGACGCGGAAGGCCAGGCCGGCGAGGAAATCGCGGGAGCTGAGCAGCCCAGCCACAGGGCGAAGGGTGAAGCCAGTACAGTCTGGGGAAATAGAGCAACAAATTGTAGAAGCTTCCTCTATGCAGTGTGTATTAAAACGCACCCCTCAAAAAGTTGGAGACATCCTCCAGCTGTGGGATATTGTCCTCCCTGAAGCCACAATTGTCCACCAGCAGGGGAAAGACATGATTGTACTCGCGACAGGCGTGGGTCTTGTAGAGCTTCGAGAGATTGCGGAAGATAATGCCCCAGGTCTCGATCTCCTCCTTGGAATACTCTACATGGGGCAGAGTCTCGCCATGCTTGTAGTTGTAGGCAATGTCCGCGAAGTACTTGCGGCGCTTGCGGTACTCCGGGTCGGTGAATCCGGGATGATCGGAGTCCAGTTCGGCGCCATAGCTGAGGATCTGATTGGCAAAGCGATCCAGATCGCGTATACGCCTTGGGAACCAAGGCACTGCCGTGGCATTGTCCTTGTAGTCACGCGAAATGATATTGAAATAGCTGCACTGGCCCTTCACATCCTCAATAGCCCTGCCCAGGGCCCCGGACTTGCCGTCGCACTCCACGAAGAACTCATAGCCAGGGACACGAAGCGAGGACCGGGACTCAATGTGCACCAGATTGATGTCGTGCTTCTTGAAGATGGCCAAGATATTGGCCAGGGCACCACTGGACAAAGACGAGTCCTTCGGCGAGAACAGCAGACAGGTATTCCTGGCCTCCTGAATATCCACACCCTCGGCAATATACGCCGAATCCTCAATGCGCGTTGGCTGATGGAGAGTGGAAAGATTTTCATTAGCTTTTCATTATTTCGTTATCGCTTGGAAAAACAATCCCTCCCATTGATTGACACAGAATGTGACCCAGACTGATGCAACAATCTGGGAAACACCCTCATTCCTACTCATCCCTCATGACCATCAGCGGATGATCAATACCCCACTATTGTAAGCCGATACAATCAATTGCTCAGAACGAGGATCGAATTTCAAAGGTTAGCCAGGTCCGAAATCAAGGCGAGTTATTCAACCGCAGCCCCACGAGCTTCCACAGACTGCTGCATCATTGAAATTAGTTAGTAGGTGTATCTATGTACTATTTCTCGAGTCTCGAAGGCTTAGGTCTGACCGCAATGGCATTCAGAGCATATGGATAGCCATGGGTTTCGCCTAGAACTTGATGAGGCACGGAGAAGATTGTTATGGAGGTTCTGATACCACAAGATACGAGAACGCTTAGATCTAGTTTCTTATAAATATTCCACTTTGGTAGATCTTGTTTTGATGCAAAAACTCCAGAAAAAAAGTCACACTCAATAGGCTGTTCTATAAATATTCCTTTGTCTGGCAATCTGTAGTGTTAACCCAATTTGGTGGAAGCTCGAGTTGATTATAGATCCGCTTTCTTGCCTCAAAATAAACTTTGTTTTCACTGGCTGGAATAATACGAGTACTTCTTATATTTTGTGGTTCCACTCAAGGTTAGCAAAAGTTCAAGTCGGGTACAAAAAAATATATACTTGTTATTGCTATTATTATTATTATTGTTATTCTGCGGTTCACTTTCTACATATATTCATGTACATGTACGTATGATGTACAGGAACGAACCTTATCAAAGGAGACCTGACGCTGGTACATTTTGAAACGATTCTTCTCTTTTGTCTTCGCTGCGAGATGGGGAACAACAACCGAACAAACTGGCGAACGCACCGCTCAGCACACGATTTAAAACTGATTTAATTTCTCAGTTAATCATGCGCTTAAATAGACTTTTTTTGCTAGACCCCAAGCCGCACGGGTTCCATAGATAATCTCAATCTCGTGGAGAAGTGAGACGAAAACGAAAACCGAGTGGAAACCAGTCAATAATAATGCGATCAATCGGGCGAGTGAACGGGCGATCTTGGAATAGCATCCACATGCGGTCCAATCGCAGTACTAACTCTGCTTTATGGCTATGGCTATGGCTGTGGCTGTGGGGTTATCAGTTCCTGCGATAGATAGGCCTAACATCGTCTAACATCGCATGCCCCTGCTAAGGGTCGCGCTGGCTTTCTGCCTACAGTTCGAGTATGCTACATATATATATGTGTGTATATAAATACTCCCAATCCGATTTGATCGCTCTGCTGGGGTCCATGTTATTTTCTAGACATTATTATTATTTCGGCTAGTTTCTATTTTTTGTTTTCGCAAAACGAATGAAAATAAAACTGAAAACTGAATAATCTTAAATGGTTTCATAATGTGACATGCCGACAGGTTCTAACCAAACGAGTTCAACGGCATTTCTGGGCAATTATTTTGTAGTGAATAATAAATTAGAAGTAGCTGTGGATGTGGATGTCGATGTGTATGTGAAGGTGGAGGTGGGGGCCTGGCACGCGCTATATTTGCTGTTCTACAAATACATTTCATAAATATCGAGTCCACTCACCTGATTTCAGAAAGGAATAACAATCATTCTGGCTTGTGGAACCCATTTATAATAGCTTGTGGATCAGATAGTCCCATTGTATGTGATATTTTGGGGGAAACAAAAGTTGAGAGTTCATTTCAGTTGGGGAATGCCATACAGACCACAGACTTCAGATTAAACCCCAATCAAAAGATGATGCAATATTTTAAAGAGTTTACAAGACCCAAAAAATAACCCATTTAATTTTCCGCTTATCTGCAAGAACTGTAACAACAATACCAATAATAATGAATAAAAGATCGCCTAAAAAATACATTTAAAGTATTTATTTATTTAAATTAGGCATTAAAAAAAAAGATATAAAAAGTATTTGCATAAATGGCGCCTCCAATAGTATTCTACTCGTTCAATTGCTCAACGAGTAGATAGCTTATACCCCAAGTACTGGGCTCTAGAAATTCGCATTGTACCTATGCCAGAGCGAGGTGAGGGTGCCGCGTTTCAGATGCGTCTGGGGACTCGATTGCGGGCGCACGTTCTTCAGAGTACAGCCCACGGGCAGGTTGACCTACAAAATACACAAGCGAGATGCATTCGAATGAGATACAGATGGAAACCTTCGCTGGTGCGCTCCTATTACTGGCTTTGGCGTTGACTTTGGCTTTGGCCCACTTACGGATTGGTGGGCCGTCACTCGGACGGGCTCTTTGTCGGGACAGACCACATAGGACTCATGGCCATCGAACAGACTGCCGCTGGCGGCAGGCTTCTCCCTTAGTTGTGCTGGCGCTGAACTAAGGGACAGGGACTCGGACTCGGATTCGGGATAGGCAATCTCTGGTTGTGCAGGTGCAGGTGTGGGCTTGGCAGCTGAAAGAACGAGATGCTATATATTGAAATTTCTAAAAAGAAAACAGGAGATCTCTTACCCTTGACATGAATGTGGAAACTGCAGCTGAGGGTCACACCGTCAGTGGTGGTTGCCTCGTATTTGATGGCATGATCGCCCAGCCTAAACAAAGCACCCGGGAACTGAAAAGAAATCAATCGTATCATAGTCTATAGTATGTTTCGATTCGAATACTTACATGAGACTTGAAGATCTTCAATAATTTGCCTTCGAAGCGGGGCTCTTCCCAGACAACCGAACGCAGATTCTGATTCTCCTTCAGATGAACCTCAATCGAGGGTGGGCAATAGTTGGATGTATCTGAGCCCAGGTCCACCCTGAAGCTCTCACTGCGCTCAGGAGCGACACCAATGAGATTCTTTGACGTTTGAACAGAGTCTAGTCTTGGGAAGGATGCGGGGCTAGACGGGGTCGATGGTTCAGGAAGTGCAGATAGTCTGGCAAATTGAGCGGGCCTGGAAAATGTTGGAAATGGAGCTGGTTGGCGGACTGTACTCCGTGTGGGAAATGTGGGAAACGGTACGGGGGCAGGGGCTGAAGACCGGGAGGAAAATGTGGGAAATGCAACAGGTCTGGAGAACCCTGAATGACTCTGAACTGGAGCGGAGGAAAAGGTGAATAAATTGGACTCTGTCGTTGGCGCCGCCTTGATGGTGATGATCGTTTGACAGGCGGCACTCTGCCTCGTCTGTGGGTCCTGAGCGCGGAACCCAATCTTGTGGACGCCAGCCGGAAGGTGAGCCTCCAGCTGCTTGGCCCAGGCGGGAAAAACAGCCACATTTCGGTAGTCCAGATTTGTCTCGGGCCTCTGCAGAGTCACATGAGCCTTGACCTCACCGCGATGCAGAAGGATGACCACATTCTCGGGACATTTGATGTAGGGCCGAGCTCTTGTGGCTGTCTGCTGTACGGGCGGTATATTCTGCAGAGACTGCGATCGGATCCAGGGCAGTCGATTGTTGAAGAAGCTGCTGCCGAACGGCTGACAGTTGAGATCAGATCCAAAGGACCAGCCCTGCAGGGCCATGCAGGAGGCCAGCAAAGGTCCAGTAGGCACAAAGCCAGCATTGCACCGCAGGTGGCAGATGGCCCCAAAGCTGGAAGGACCCTGTGTACAGCTTGCAGGAGAGATGACACCATTGCGGGCCTGTTTCAGGGCAGGACATATCGATTGGGTCTGCACACGACGCTGGACAAGAGCTAAAACGAAGTCAAGTTATCACAGATCGGTTCGTTGGGTGATTGGATCCTCTGTCTGATACTTACGCACGCACTTGTTCTCCTGACCCTCCCAAACACCAGCGGATCCGCAACTCCTGATCTCCGATCCCTGGAGGGTGAAGCCCGGATTGCAGGTGACCCTGCAGCGACTGTTGTAGAACTGCGTGCGCTTGTGGCGATACTTGTTGCAGCGGGCCTTGCCGTTCGCCGGCGCCTGGAAGCGTGGACAGGCATCCCGTGGCTGGGGTTGTCTCTGAGTGACCCAGGGAATCTGCGGAAGCCTGGTATTCACTGATTCAATAGAAGGAAACCTTGGTGCTTCTGGAGCTGCAGAAGGATATTTTGGAGCTTTGCCCAGCTCGGGAAATGAGGGAAATGGGTTTGCTTTTGGTAAGACGGGAAGAGCAGGCGGCAGTCGCTCTTCTGGACGGGCTTTGGGTAGTTCGGGAAATGTGGGAAATGGATTTGCTTTTGGTAGCTCGGGAAGAGGCGAAGCCCTTGGTGGCTGAGGCACATCCAGGCAGGTCCTTCCATCAATGGAGAGTCTCTTGCCGGAGGAGCACTCGCACCGGAAACCGCCTGGTTCATTAACACAGCTGCCAGCTAGACAGTTCTCCTTGTCCAGCGAACACTCGTCCACGTCCTGGCACGTCCTGAGATCGCTGTCCAACTGATAGCCGGCCGGGCAGGCGCACTTGAAGGAGCCCTGGCTATTCTCGCAGCGATGCGAGCAGCCCCCGTTGTTCAACTGGCACTCGTCGACGTCCACACAGCTGCCATCGGCGCCGAGCAGGAGGCCCAGGCCGCATTTGATGGGTTCGCAGCCATCGGAGGTGGAGGTCCTCTGACTGCCAGGAGGACAGCCAACCAGGGCGGGGCGGCAGCTCCGATTGTCCTCCTGGAGGATGTAGCCCAAGGGGCAGCCGCACTCGAAGCTGCCCTTCTTGTTGATGCACTCGTGGGTGCAGCCGCCCGAGAGAAGTCCGGCACACTCGTCTATGTCCTGGCAGCTCCTTCCATCTTCGGACAGCTCGTAGCCCCGCTCGCAGGCACACGCATGGGTACCTAGAAGATTAATGCAGATGTCGCTACAGTTTCCGTACTCCTGCGAACACTCGTCGATGTCCAAGCACCCAAAGCCATCCGGCGTGATCTCGAACCCGGACTCGCAGGCGCAAGCAAAGCCCCCTGGCTGGTTGAGGCAAAGCTGCTTGCATTGGCCATTGCCATGGAGACACTCGTCGATGTCCTGGCAGGTGCGCCCGTCCTCGGCCAGAGCATACCCCAGGGGACAGGCGCACTGGAATCTCCCCGGCAGATTCAAGCAGAAGTGCGAGCAGTTGCCGTTGGCCAGCGAGCACTCGTCAATGTCCAGGCAGGGTGAGGGTTCAGATGATGATGAGTCGTTAGGCGATGATGTGGATGATGATTCGGATGATGATGTGGATGTGATGATGTGATTGTCCAGCCCTAGAGCATAGCCAGCTGGACAAAGGCAGGTGTAGGAACCATTGAGGTTCTCGCAAAGCATTTCCTCATGGCATTTGTGCATCTCCCTCGCGCACTCGTCAATGTCAAAGCAGTAGCCGCGAAGTCCCTCCAGCCGGAGCAGCTCATATCCTGGCGAGCACTCGCACCCATACGAACCTGGCAGATTGCGGCACACCTGCTGGCAGCCGCCGTTCTCCACCTGACACTCGTCCACGTCCTGACACCCCTTGCCGTCCGCGCCGAGGCGGAAGCCGTCGCGACAGGAGCATGCACCGCCACGAGCCGTGAGGCAGATCTGCTCGCACCCATTGTTGTTGACCTCGCACAGATCCTCGGCCACGCAGGTGAACTCCTCCACGAGGGTCAGGCCGACAGGACACAGGCACTGGTAGCCACCATCTGTGTTGAGGCAACTATGGCTGCACAGATGGCTCTCCTCCGCGCACTCGTCGATGTCCTGGCAGCTGAAGACCTCGCTGGTGTAACCGGGCGGACAGAGGCAGCTAAAGCTGCTGTTGTCCTCGCTGGGCACACAGCTGCCCGGACGACAGCGGTCGTGGCCGTTATCCGTGGTGCAGGCCGACTCGGCCACCACGCAGCTGTGCTGATCCTCGGCCAGATCGTAGCCCTGAGGACACTTGCACTTGTAGTTGCCATCCGGCAGGTTCTCGCACTCATGGGCACAGCGAGTGCGATTCAGTTTCGGATTGTCCAGGTCCTGGCAGCCGTCGAGGGCGCAGCTCTGTTTATCCTCCAGCAGATGGTAGCCCGAGTGACAGTGGCAGCGATAGGAGCCAATGGTGTTCTGACACTTTTGCTGGCAGAAGCGTGGCTTGGGATGCTCCTCGTCCTCGCCATCGTCGATGTCGCACTCGTCAATGTCCTGGCACTCGCTGCCATCGGCCGAGAGCTGGAACCCAGGGTTGCACTGCACTTTAGGGCTGGGCTGCGATACTTCCTCAACTGAGATCTCGTTATCCTCCTCCGTGGGCTCTGACAATGCAGTCTCAATGGCGGCCTCTTCTTGGGTGACCAATGCCACCACACAGCGATATGATCCGGGCAAGTTCTCACAACCATTCTGACAATCTGAAGATAATTCTGCATTGGTGCACTCGTCGATGTCTGAAATTCAGAATTCAGAAATAGATGTCATACAAGAAAGGTATGGTATGCAGATATCTGAATTATGTGCTTACCCACGCAGGACTTTCCCGTTGAGGCATCTAGTTGGTAGCCCTTCTGGCAGGCGCATTGAAAGCTTCCCGGCAGATTGTTGCAGATCTCTGAACAGCCACCATTCGACTCCTGACACTCATCGATATCTGGGGAGAGAGGAGGACTTTAAATGACTTCGATATATAAGGATAAGAACCAGGATACCCACCAAGACAGCTGACGTAATCGCTGGGATCTAAGGTATAGCCCTCCCGGCAGCTGCACTTCAGGACGGGCTCGTTCTCGTCTGGATACAAGAGGCGCTTGCATATGTGCTCACATCCACCGCGATCTTCACCGCAGTCTTCGTCCAGGAATCGAGGTGTGTATGGATCTTTCGTGGGCTCAACCACCACATTGATTTCGGTTACTTCTTCGACCTTGACTTCAGGTTCAAGGGGAGTTTCAACAGGCTCTGCTTCATCGACGCGTACGACAATTTCCGGTTCGGGTTTTGGCTCATCGATCGACTCTGGCAACACTTCTGGCTGTGGTTCGACTGCCACTGGGAGCTCCTCTACAGGTGCCTTGACAGATTCTGTTGGTTGTGTAGCCTCCTCCACGGACTCAACAACTTCCTCTTCGACTGGTGGTGGAGGTGGTGGCGGCGGTTCGCTCTCAGTCACCTTTGGCTCCTCTTCAACCAAATTGTCGGTGTCGTTGTCATCGTCATTGGTGATGGTCTCGTACTCATCGTAGTCCTCGCCCTCGAGATCCCCGCCATCTCCGCCATCCCCATCGGTGTACTCCACCTGGGGAATGCAGGTGGGCAGCTCGCCCACCCACTTCTTGTCGTGGCAGTACATCGCTGAGGTCTCCAAAAACTCGAACTCGTAGTTCTCATTGCACGCGAAGTAGGCCACAAGGAAGATCTTCTCGCCCCGGCGGCGACGCTCGTACTTGACCACTAGTCCGTGGCTGATCTCTGGGGCCATCACCTTTGCCTCGATGCAGCTCAAGTCTAGAATCGCAGCCAACGGAAGAGGAACCTTGGGCTCCTCTGGTATGGCCAAAACCCTCTTCTTGCGTTCTGAGACCGCGGAAGCTGTAAACGGATATGTCTCATTAGAAATAAGAGATCAAAAAGGATAAGCATTGCTCTCCAACCTACCCTTCACACAACTGGGTGGCTCGCCCTGCCATTTGTCGGTCTCCGAGTTGCAGATCAGCTCCGCCGCTCCCCTCAGATCGAAGCCCGCCTTGCAGGTATATATCGCAGTGATTGTGTCATCGTTCAATGCTATCTTCGCCGTGGCATGCCTCACCAATGGCGCCACCTCACAGTACTCCAGTGCCGCTGAAAAGCCACATACACACATGTAGGTTAATCTCCCAAACAGCTGTTCTCACACTCCACTCTCAGATACAATCGGAGACACGCGGATAGTTATGGAGAGGGGCCATAAAACTAACCGAAACAATCATCTGAATCTTTGCCAAAAGACTTTTCATTGTCGTCTATAAGTTTTCTATTTCTTTTTCAACATTTTCTTAGATGCTGTGGTGCTGTTTTTGGCTTTTCGTTTGGGATAATTTACGATCAGTTTTTATGTTCCTCATTTCTGAATGCCGGCCGGTAATTAAATGATCTATTTTGTTAGTGGAATGGGGGCCGCGTGCTGGCAATGACTCATTTTCTCTTCCCTAAGACTTTTCTGAAGAAAAGGTGTCATAAAATCGTACATACATATGTGTATAGTACGGTCCATTAGCTGTTACCATAAACTGATCATAAAGGCAATTTCGTGTTCGTTTTTTATGGATTTCCATATATATGTACATATAGATTGAAGGGACAAATGTCATTTATTAAAATGGAAAATATAAGTGATTGTTTTATGGTAATTTCATTAATAAAAGTTCATATTTTTAGAAGATCTGAGAATTTTCAATTTTCGAAAATGAAAGTGGCATATTTTAGATGCACAAAATTTCTTAGAATTCCTCCACTAATGAAAATGATTGGATCTTTTCCAATAGGGAAATTTCTTCCCAAAAATATGGCCCCATAAAGTTGCCTTCCTCCGTGACTTTCTCCATAACTTTTCGCCCACACTTACCTGCAGCAAATGCAACGCATGACAGGGCACATAAAACATATTTGACCGCCCACATATTGCCGCCCTAGACACGAACACGATCCTTGTAGACTCTATGCGGTTCACACCTTTCCACTCACTCACTCGTCGGGGTTTGTGCTTCTTCGGTTTTCTTTTATAAATAAGAAGTCATTAATAAAATTTCACGCTTTGTCTTTACTTTCCTTTCAGAACATATTTATGGGACAAGAGATGAAAGTATATATGCAAAGAAACCATTAAGATTAAGGCGGCTTTATAAATAGCCCATGTTCAACACTTTCTATATACACGTATAAATGGGAGACAATATTTGCTGGAACTCAAGAAGATGACCATTCAACACTTCTTTTGGACAATTGGAGTTCATTGGGATTATTCCACATTTATGATATGGTAAATAAAAAAAAAAAGTTCTACATATACATATGTATGTGGTGTATAGTTATTTTCACTGATTGAAGGAGACAAGAACCGATTTCCTAGGGAGAAGAGAACGCACCGTTTCCGACCAGAGCCAAGGCAAGACTGAGGAGCCAAAGAGATTCCTACTTTTCTCGAAGGGAAGCACACGGAACACACCGAATTTCCCTGTCTCCAAAGATAGATGTATGTATATACATATGTATACTTATAGTATATACGCTGATATTTCATGACTATCATAAAGTAAATTAGTGCGAGAGCGCACAAGTGTCGCCCCTCTTTGGGAGAAGGAAACTATTTTTACCCATGGAAGAAGACTTGTCATTAGCATAGGCCCACCAGAATTGATGGCTCCGTTCTGTTCTGTGCTGTTCCGTTCCGTTCCAGATGCTTCTGTTATTTGCTTTTGCATTGAACTTGATCGCAGACCGATCCGATGATCCATCCTTCAGCGCTGTCAGAAATGCTTGTCGAGAAAAATTATTAATATTAGTTAACATTCCATTACATAAATAAAACACTCAATCATCTTGAATCAAATGCGCCGCCTCGCCTCGCATTGCTCTATTCAGTTCTGTTCTGGGCTGTTCAGCTGAGTTCGGTGCCAATTGTAAATTGTTTTTAATTAAACAAAATTAAATACAATACGAAAGTCGCACCGCGTAGGTGTGTTACACTCGCAGCACTCTTCGACTTATTTGGCCAGCCAAACAAACATGTTATTCTATAGAAAATAAACCCGTATCGTATAGAACCTATATAGTTAAGTAGCTCACAGACCGAACGTGGCTCGTTCCCATATGGGTGGAGAGCAGTCGCTGTCCCTCCGGGTCCCCTTCGATCTTCCATCCACATCCATCCAATTGTGCGGACAGACCTCGGACATCGGACATCGGAACTCGGACCTCGGTGTTTTATAGCTTACAATTTGATTGACAAATTGTTTTATGGCTCAAACAACTGAAAATGGTTTAAGGCTGTACATAATTGACCGATCCGATCCATGGGATTGAATCGTGGATTGACAGACAATTGGACGCGTTTAAAGTCGCTGGCTATTGGGCCATTCCACACGTTTCAATTCCATGCTTTTCTTCTAATGAAGGCTTTGCCATTCATTCATTTCAGTTGGAGCGTTTCTAGCCGCTCGCTTCTTGGTAATTGCATGCGTTTTTAAACGCTTGCCAAACGCATGCGCGGTTAAAAACGCCAGACAATCGCCTAGTGCTTTTCATCACTTTAAACCAAATTTGTGGGCGTGCGAATTTGTTTCTACTCGCGCACACTTTGTATGGTCAAATGATATACTCGCACATATGTATGTATATCTAGATTAGTTTTTCCAGCTCATGCGATTCAAGCGATTTCTGTGCGTTTTCTCTGTGTAGGTTTATGCTCGAGGCGGTTCTCGTCGCTGTCTCGTTATTTATGGATCCATTTACATTTTAACTTAACCTTAGATGGCATTTGCGGAAATTGCCCAAGGGCGTGGTATGCACATATACGTATATGTACGTCTCTAGTCTCTAGATATATTTTTATATATAGTATATACTTTTGTCTGGACAGTCGACTGCCGCGGCGATTGTTTTTTTTTCTTGTCTGTGCTTTGAGTCGGACTTATGTTGACATTTTCCTCGGCAGCGTCCCATTGTTTCGGCTTTGTATGGGACATCCGCTGGCCCTGGTGCACCACAGACCACAGACCCCTTCCCCCATATAAGACTGTTGCCACTGTTTCAATTAATTATTAATAAATTAAACCTTTATTTTATTTAACTAAACAAATGAAATATTTCCTTGTTAATTACAAAAAGAGTCCAATTATTTTCCCTTTGGATTGGGCTTACTTAGAATTAAGAGACTCGGAAAATCTACGGAAATCTTCAATAGATTTCTGAATTATTTCCGATCGGGTGCATTAATGGGTCTTTCTTTTAATTTTTTTTCTTTGCACCAACAGAAACTAAAAAAAAAAAAACAAAACACATAAATCCTGTGCACTCTGGCTGCTCCGGCGCTCCGCCCGATCCCTGGGGTTAGTTTTTAATGCTGAGATATGCGGGACCCACTTGACGGACGTAGACACTCCGCTCGTTGCTCAGATACGGCGGACAGCGCACGGTGAGGATGCCATCGGAGGACAGCTCCGACCGGACATCGTTCGGGTAGTATCCACGGGGCAGCACGAATCGCTTGACAATGTGGCGTCCCACGAAGGTGTCTCCGTCGCGACGCTTCTCGTGCTTGGCCTCCACCACCACCGTATCGCCGGTGGTCTTCACTGTGATCTCGTACGGCTTGAACTGGTGCACATCCACGTTGGCCTCGAACCCGTCCTTGCCCACGATCACCCTGCTCAGATCGGGCGCGGAGCCCACGCGCGACAGCGAGCGCTTCCAGTAGGGCAGATCCCAGTCGTTGATGTCCCAGTCGCGCCACAAGCGACGACGGTAATCCCAGTAATCCCAGTCCGTGTTGTTCGTAGACGGAACCAGAGCCATCTCAGCTATTTGTGTTTTCTTTTCTCTTTTTTATCGGGTGTTGTTCCTCGAGAGCTCTCAGGACGCAGCAACGCAACGATCGATCTATTCGACTTTTCACTTTTTCGTTTCGACTTCGACGCGTTCTCTTCTAAACGTCCACTCGCGATTTTTGCTCTGAGCAAATTAAACTTGCAACCGACAGAAGCCGCCGCTTTTATAGCGCTATGCCCCGCTCGAAAGTGGGCTCAGCCCCGGCTCCGATCGGCTCAGACTCGACAGCCAATGACAGTTGTGACGTAGAAGCCAGGCAGCAGTATGGGCTATGGGCTATAGGGTGTGGGGTGTGGGGTGTGGGGTATATGCTATGGGGTCTCGGGCGATGTTTTCGATTGTTTATCTTGAGAAATGAATTTCTGCTCTGATCTGTTCTGTTCCGAAAGGGGGCTGGCTGACTCTGTGGGCCGAAAACGTCTATGGCCATGCAACCAGATCTGAATGGCAAATGGCAAACGGCATTTCCTTGAGGCGATAGAGGTTTGTGTTGGGTGGGTTTTAGCCAATGTTGAGCCACTTCCGCAGTGGCCGGAAAGTTAGAGAAGGTTCCCCGAAGGGTAGAGAGCTAATAAATAGAGATTCATAGTAAAAAAAACGCACTAGAGGAGAAGTCTGCAAGGGTTTCAATTACTGCCTAAATCATCTCTTACTTGACCACATTTCCAGCCGGCCTTCCCCCTCCCATTATATCTACTTCCGCCCTACAAAAACTGACCTTCCTAGCTCTTGTCCCATCCCCATCTCTTTGTACTTCTCCTTCTCTCTCTCTCTCTCTCTCTCTCTCTCTCTGTGGTGTACCCATCCAAAACCCATTCTCCCATATCGCCAACGCCTTTAAAGCAAACCATGCCAAAAAGCGAACAAAAATTCCAAAACCCAACAGTCGAAAAAGATCGCTCAGCGCTTCAGCGTTTTCAACTTAATTACGCAGCATTTCCGCTTGCTCAGATACAAATGTATCTAAAGCTAAATTGAAAAAATCAAAATAAAATTAAAACAAAAAGAAAAAAAAAGCGACGCAGATGGAGGGGACATTTCTTTGGCGGAAATCCGAAACAGCGCATAATTCTTTTCACTTTTTGACCAAATATGGCTTTGAGTTTGTTGTTGTACAATTTAAGCCGCTACAAGATATAAATCAAGCAGATACAGATACACAGCCAGACAGACAGACAGACAAAGCCAACATATATGTACATGGATTACAGATACACAATCTATAGATACAGCTACACAGATACAACAGGGGGAGTGTGGGAGGGCTGCTGCTGCTGCGGTACTCGTAGTCATGACAAAAAGGCAATTTGTACAATTTTCGATGGTACAATGTTGCAGGGAAGATTAGCCAAAGCGACAACAACAACAATTGTCGCGCCATCCATGTACATAACATTTATGGGCCTGACCTGCCTCTGAGCCCCCCCCCCCCCCCTTCCCACCTCTATAGATGGAACCCGTGCCCATAACAATGCACAATCATCGATGGGACTGTGATTGGGATTGGGGCTGGCTTTGGCCCACCCTGATTGTAATTGTAATTATACCCTGGCGCATTAGGGGTATTACTGTATCCAGAAGATGTTCGCCCAGTATAGAAGATAGCAGCTCCGAACTCTCTAGAGTATATGCCTATAAAAGAGCTTAAATCGGAACCGAAAAGAGCGCATCACTAGATCTCCCAGGGTATCCAATGCTTCGCTCACCGAAAATCTCCCATTCCCTGCTGTTGTTGGATTAGATATTGCGTGTATTTGATAATAATTGTAACTAGCTTGGCAGCAATTTAGATGCCACTCGATGCGGGCAGGGGTATAGAGTGATTTGCTCTCGACCAAGTATGCCTGATGAAGCTGAGTCAGAGCCACGAACACTGCTGGACAGCTGAATAGATTTTGGGAGGAGAAAACACTAGGTTCCAAATCCGAATCGAAATCCAAGTTGATAGGGGAATACCATAAATTATAGCCGCATCTATCAGCACTTTGGAACATTAGAATGTTTCTCTGGCAAAATGGCAAGATGTTGTCGCGCCCCATCAAAAACTGAGATGAATATAAATTATCGAAGAGATGTTTATATGCCCTGACACCTATTTAAGGCCCTGCTGGAGCTGCTTCTTGGGAAAAATAATCAAAGAAAATATAATTTATATATATCGTAGGACTAATGAAGAGCTATGAATAGCCGAGAGTATTCCAAAAACCATGTAGCACAGTGTGATGGGTGAAAGAGGGAGAGAGGTGGGCGAGAGGTGGGCAGAGGGGTGGGAGAGGCAGATCGAGAAGCGGGAAAATCTCGTTTGGAAATCAATCGCAGTGCCGCAGCTGCACAACAACATCAATTCATTTGTAATTAAAGGCAAACAAAGCAATCGACTAATTTGTTTGATTTTATGGCAAAATCAAATGAAAATCAACTGCACACGGACTTCCCTTGGGAGGTGGCCATCCAAATACCTTTCTATTCTATCGGGCAGGAGTGTGGGTTGTGCTCAACTTTCTTTAGACCTGAACGGGCCATTATCTAACAGATGACTTTCTATAATCGTAGATCTCATTAGCATGTCAAATCTGCTCATCCACCCACCCATGCCACCTACCAGCCACCCCAGGCTATGACCCAGCCCCAGCCCCAGCCCCAGCCCCTACCCCGAGGGAATTCAATCGAAAGCAGACATTGTTCCGTGGCTCCCCTCTGATCCCCTCTGCTCCCCACCGCTGGGCGAGTAGTTTATGGCTTGCCACAAAATTTGTCATCCTATGGGGGGGATGGCAGCCTGCCAGCTACTGCCAGATTCTGCCAGGCAGGAACTTACCTCAGAAACAGCTTGGACCATTTGTCTGATTAGCGCAACAGCTTTCCCCCGATCTCCTCCTTACCCCTCCTTGGCCAATAAAAGCAAACACCTCAGCCATAAAGAATTTATCTAAATCATAATTTATACTTTTGTTGAAAAACGAAAAACTGATGAAATTCTAGCAGACCTAAGGCCCCCGTCTCGACCCCAATGAGTGGGCGACTCTAATGGGTCAAATGTTTTACAAGAAATATTCAAATTCGTTCGGCAAAAACCATAAAAATTAACAAAATATGCGAGGGAGCGGGAATATGCGACTCTCTTTGCATCATTTCGCCTGCCGCCTGAAAGTATGCCCTGGAAAATGGTTGCAACATCAGTCGACGTATGCGTAATCCTTGAAAGCGGACAAAATAGCTAACTAATTAGGCGAAGGAAATCAATGAGCTGGAAAAGAAGAAATAAAGACCCAGAGCGGAACACGAGCGTCACGAGTTGCCAATGAAGTCGCCCCTGGGGGTGTCCAGGGGGCTGTCCAGGGGGTGGGAAGTGCAGTCTACTGTACGAATAAATGGCAACCGAGACACTAAAACGAGCCGCAAAAGGGCAACCGAAACCATCCTTGTTCTGGTTCTTGTGGCAGGTGCAAGCGTCCTCACGAAGCTGCCACTGCAATGCGACGCCATCGCCAGGTCCACAGAAATACAAAGAACCTCCAGCAAAACGAAAGCAAAAGTTCAAGTCGAAGACGGGACGAAAGAGGCGGACGGGCACGGGACAGTCGGGACAGGTCAGGTCAGGGCGAAGGGGAAGGGGAAGGGGAAGAGCATGAGGATCTCGACAGCCAGCAACTTAAAACTGTAATTGGCCATGCGAAGTGAACACTGCAACTGCAACGGTAACGGCAACGGTAACGGCAACGGTAACGGCAACAAAGAGGAGCCCCCAAAAGACAGCCACAATAATAGTTGTAAGCCCAGCAACAAAGTCTCAAAGTTGCCCCAATGAAAGCGCATGAAGGAGCCCACAGAATGGGACAGAAACTGAGAGGCAGTAACATTTGAGATACTCTTTCTTGAATGGAGAGAGAGAGAGAGAGGGATGAAGCAACAGATTGGCTTACGTTCTCCCATATCATCCAGCCCTCAAACACTAGCCGCTTCCTTCACCTATATATTCAGCTATTCATCAAAGATACATCCACATTGCATGCCTCGAAACCCACTCTCATTCTCATTCCTTCCGAGATACCCATCATAGCCGCAGGGCAACCTTCAGCAGAGAAACAAACAAGAATCCTGGGCCCCACCACAGACACGCCCCCGAAGGCTTTCTGACGCTCTGACGCTGCACTTGTTTGCATACGAATGAGGGCTATATTTGTACGAGTGGGCATGGGGCATGGGGGGATGGGGGATGGCGCATGGGGCAAGCAACGCTCGTGGTGGCCCGGCCTATTAGTCTATTTTTGTTTTGTTTTGTTTTGCTTTGTTTTGTGCTATTGAACCCAATTGACGACGAAGTGCAGGCGTTGGTGCTGGTGCAGAAATGGAAAGTGGACAAGGCTCAAGCAGGGCTCCTTCCTTCTTGCTCCTTCCTTCTTCCTCCATCTTCCGCTTTGACTGCAGTTAATTTAAAATTCCGTAAGTGTAAAAACTCTGACGACACATCCTTGGACAAGATGCACACCGCTTAAGGACATTCCTGGCTGGTGTACCGCATTCCGCACTTCGCTGAGTCACACACATACACACACACACACACAACACACACAAACAGAGACAAAGGTCAGCAGTTCAGCATTTAACGACGAGCACATTCTTCCTTGCACTTGAAAATATTGAAATGCCTTCGGACAGCCCCAAGCTGCGAGTGTCAGCTGTTTTCCCCCCCCCCTCGAAGACACTCAAATTAATGCCAGCGACAAGTTTTGTGTGAAGGACGCGTAATATCCTTGTGTGTCGCTCAGTCGTCCGTCGACCGTCCTCCGTCCTCCGTCCAGTCTGTCCTTTTGTCTGTCTGCCAAGGCTGTGGAGTGGAGAAGGATAGGAGTTTCCTTGGCTCTGATTTACCCTTCCATATGGAAGATACAATGCCCTGAAGGTTAGCGTCTTGTGTCCTGTGTCTTGTACAAGGCTGAAATTACCCCATCCCACAAATGCCAGACAGTTTTTCGTTTTCCGTTTTGTAGATACTTTATTTATTGAATCTCAAGTTGAATACGATTTAGCTGAAATCTATTGTATTGGAATGATATGCGTCGAGTGATTTCCTTGTCGGTAAAGTATTGTATGCTATGCTGTTGCGAGAGGTACGTACAATTATGCCATGGAACATCTATACGTTAAGTACTTGGGGATTAGTATTTCGGTTAGATGGATGATGCCAGGAGTTGGCCTAACAGTGGCGCTCTAACAATGTTCAAATGTATTTGCATCTACATAGATAAAAGTGTGTCAAGAGCCACTGGCAAAACGCTACTACAGCTAAGTAATAATTTTCCATTAACATTTGTTTGTCGAATACTTTTCGGCGTTCGGCTTTCGGTTTTCGGTTTTTGGGTTTTCGGTTTTCAGTGTTGTTGGGGAGCTCTTAAGTACTACGTTTATCTGAGAGATATGAAGTTGTTCTGTGTGTTTCTGTGGTAAAGCTATGAGAGTGCCTGGCGATCGATATATGTACATACATACGTAGATCGTCTAGATACTATCGTTTCGAATATGTATCGTATATTATGTTGGTTGTTGGTTGTTGGTTGGTTCTATAGTAAACTCTGAAAAGTGCAAACAGTGTGGCGTTAATATACATATATCTATAAAATGTTTCTGTTCTTTTTGATATTAGTTGTAAATACTCGTAGTCGTCAATTTTGAATGAAATACATTTTGTTTTCTTGCAACATATCGAATACATTTAGAACACACAAATATTTGTTGTTTGTTTGGAGAATATCTGACTACAAAACTATAAATATATACTATATGTATATGTATATCTGATATATTCTGTGTTCCAGCTTCAAGCCCTAACAAAGTTTCCCTCCCCCAACATTTCTCTTAAAAAACTTGCAACTTCTCCTTTTTCTTTTTGGGTTTTTCAGTTTTTTTCCTGTGTTTTTTTGGTGTATTTTTGTTCTTTTCACTAATTTGAAATTGGGACCAAGGTCCTCTCCGTCTGTGTGTGTGTGTGTGTTGTCCTTAGTAGTAGTTTGCCATTGACTTGTTTACAGTCCCCCTTCCAAAAAAAAAAATTTTAAAAAATGAAGGAAATTGAAAACATGTTTCACTTTCCATAGAACCTCCCCCGATCCCTACCCCTACCCCTACCCCTACCCCTACCCATACCCCTACCCCTACCCCTACCCCTACCCATACCCATACCCCTACCCATATCGCTCTCCCTTTAGCTCTAGCCCCAAACACTCTCCGACATTGTGGAAAAGTTTTCCAAGCTTTGCTGCAACATTTCTCTTTTTCGCTGTGTGTGTGTGTTTCATTTTCATTTCACTCTGGGAAATACAGGGAAAAACTAAAACTAACTTTCCTCCTCCTGTGTTTGTTTGTGTGTTGGCATTGGTATTTGTGTGTGTGCGCGAGACCAGCTTTGTTTCATTTTTGCTTTCAAAAGCCAACAGCTTGTATAAAAATTGTAGAAAACTTGAAGCTGAACTAAAACCTACCCAAAAAAAAATGCACCATAAATATTCACAGGGAACACTCGTATTCAAAGAAGGACAAACACTTTCGGTAATCCGTAATCTGTAATCAAAATGGGTTTCCCTTCCAATCAACTTCAAGCTCAGCCCCACTGTCTGTCTCCCAGCTCTTGGCCCTAAACTCTGTTCTAAGTTAATGTTTTCTTTGTAATATCCGTATATAAGTTATATCTCTTGCTTGGTATCAAAAAATCCGTATAAAAATGTTTGCTTAACAAATTGTATGTTTGGTTTCGGTTTCGGTTTCGGTTTCGTTTCTCCCTGGTACTCGTATAAATCTGGGTTTAAAAAATTCTGTGTGTGTGTTGTCTTGGTTTGCAAAAAATTGATCGGTGTTGGTTTTATAGTTTAGCTCCTATATTTAATATATATACTATATATTGTACCTACTCGTATAGGTTTTGGAAATATTTCAAGTGCTGTAAGCTTCGATTTACTTTTGGCCTGTATTTGCTTGCTATTTCGTTGGGGCCAGGACTGGTTCGCACTGGGGGGAAGAGAGCTTCCAGCTTCCAGCTACCAGATATAATGCATATATCAATCCTACTTTCCATGGAACCCTTTCTTCCCTTCCTTCTCCCAGTACCCAATGCCCAGTGTCCAGTGCCCAGAATGCCCCGACTCCATATAAAAACCAATTAAAATTCCGTGCTCATCGTACGCTTGAAGTTCCCTTAAGCTTTGCCTCGAGTCGGTTGTCGGTTGTCGGTTGCTGGTTGTGCGCCTAGTAGCCGATCCTGCCCAGCCGCGTGACTGGCAGCGATGTGGGCTCCGAGCTGGGCAGCTCCCCGCAGCGCTGCAGCCAGCTCCAGGCCTGGCCAAACACGACACCGACTCCGGCCCACATTCAAAAGCACTGACTACGCCGCTTCGTTGTCGTCGTGGCCGTGCCTGTGCCGGTGCCCGTTCCCGTTCCCATGCCACTGCCACTGCCGCTACCCGTGGCCATACTGGCCATGGTCATACTGGTTGATGATGTCAGAGTCGAGGTTCTGGCCGAGAGCGGGGGTGGCAGCAACCGGGGGGCCGTGTTCTATGTTTTCTTCAGCTGTCCAGAGTGTCCGGAGGAGTGTCCGCACTTGGGGGTCCGGGACTTCTTGACCAAGAAGCACGTGAGGAACTCTATGGGCGAGGGCATCTTCTGGAGGCTCTCCTCCGAGCTGGAGCTCGAGTGGTGGCTCTCCGAGCGCAGGTTGCTGCACTTGATCCGCCCGCTGGCCCCTGGCCCGGTCTCCAGGGCGTGGCGGTAGTAGTTCTTGCAGCACTTCTTGGACAGGTTGTACATGCGAACGGTGCGATCGATGTTCTCGTCGTCCTCCTCCTCGCCGGCCTTCAGGTTGAGCCCCAGGCCGCCCACACCCACATCGTGGGACTTGGAGATGACCATGCCCAGGCCCTTTCTGGCAGTGGCTGACTGACTGACTGGCACCTGCTCTTGGCCCTTGCAGACGACGGAAGAGGAGGTCTCTGGATGGAGCTGTACGCTCTCTGGCAATTCCTGGTGGTGCTCGTGGTGCTCGTGGGGCTCGTGCTGGAGGTGCTGCTGGTACTCCTCCTCGGGCTGCTCCTCCTCCTCGAGGTTGTTCTGCGACTCGTCGTAGAACTTGTAGCTCCTGTAGCGACTGTGCCTGCCCTGGTCCCAGCCGGCGCCGCGTCCAGTCCAGTCCGCGCTGGCCGGCAGCGAGAGCTGGATGGTCGGCGTGCGGTAGTACTGGCGATGCGGATGGAATCCCAGGCCAAAGTCGTCCATGTAGGACTGCGTGTGGATGTTGTCCAGCTCGTCGGCGACGCTCAGCAGGAAGGGTAGGGTCGACATGGTTCCGTTGTCCGTCTACTGACTACGTTCTGTGGCAATGCTTTTTCACGTTTTCACTTTTCCAGCTCTCGCTCTCTCTCCTGACTGCCGTCTCCTGACGTCTCCTGTCTCCTGTCTCCCACTCTGTGCTCCCACCCACCGAAATGTAGGTATCTATGCTGCGGCGATGGCTATGGCGATGTCGATGGGGGCACTGGCACTGGGCTAAGGAAATGCACACACGCGGACACGGACACAGATGCAGATGCAGATGCAGATGCAGATACAACTTTTGGAGCTACACTATTTGGTTTGGTATATATTTTTCCCTATTTCGGATTCTAGTTTTTATCTAAGGCAAAACTGCACTCGGCTCTCTGGCTCGACAGGGCTCCGACTGCACGGACTCGAAACTGAAACAGAACTGAACGGAGGCGGAAAATGCACTTGCGACCAGGCCAGGCCAGGCCATGCCAGGCCCGACGTCGCATTTATGCTGATGATGATGATGTGGAAACTCCTTCGTTCACCAGCGAGAGAGCGTCGCGTCGCGTCGCGTCTCTCTCTCTCTCTCTCTTTCCCCGAGTTGGTTCTCGTTCTCTCTCTCTCTCGGCTTGTCGGTGTTTTGGTCACGCGCTCAGGAAAACCCGATGCACCTCCGGAACCTCCTCCTTTTCCCTTTCGCCCTTCGCCCTTCGCCTTTTGCCGCACCGACTGCACCGACTGGATTTGGGTTTATGTTTTGATTTCGCTGTGTACAACGGCTGTGCGGCGTATGCGTGATATTATGAGGGGGTGGCACAGTGGCACACTGGCATGAAAGGCGGGCGGAGGGGGGGCGGGCGGCTTTCGTGCTCATTCTGGGGTTTTCCCTTTTCGCGCCTTATTGTCATTAGTTAGCGCTTGCCTCCGCTTTGGCCTCCAGCATAGTAGTATCTGCAGCGTTTTTCTGCCGTGTCCCTGGACTGCAACGGCAACGGCGAAGGACACACAACATTGTTGCTGTCCTGCGGCCCTGCCAGAGCCTGCCTGCAGCACTGTGGGAGGGCCCATGCATCTGTATACGAGAGAGTCTGTGTGCGGCTGTGTGTGGCTATGAGTGTGTGTATCTGTGAGTGGGTGAGTGTGTGGGTGGGGGGGGGCCACATCTTAATGCGCAATAATTCATTGGATGTGGATGGGCATTGCTGTGAGCTGTACGAAGGCTGCGTGTTTGGAAATTGTTAGCCAAATCAATTGAATTTCGGTTCGTTTACCGTCTTCATGGATATATAATGATGAGAAATTGATAGTGCTATATATATATATTAGGTAGGATTGGATGGAAATTGGATCCGATTGATGAATACTCGAGGGGAGGAAAGTTGGGAGAAGCAAGTACAGTACAGCACACAATCTCACTGGCAAAACGGTAATTGAATATCATCTAAAGAATAATTAAGACACTTTCACTTCTATATAGAACCCAGCGGAGATCTTTTAGCCCTTAATGAAGTTGCATAATCCATGCAGGTCTCTTCCAGCCACACAATTCACTTTGTACTAATGTACTTCTACGCATTGGATAATCCCAGGGCCTAAAGCCCACTCCCTGCCTTATTCATGAGGAGCAAGAATCCACAGAATGAGTTCAGAAATGGAAATGGAAATGGAAAAAGCGAATCCCAGCTCAAATTACCCTTGGGTCCCAGGTCCCAGGTCCCAGGTCCAGGTCCAAACCAAATGAAAAACTGCAGTAAGGAGAGAGCCTCGACTCTCATACGAGAATGCATGCATATAGACGGATAGACAGTTATCCAGTTGTGTGTCCTGTCTGTCCGTCTGTCCGTTTGTCTGGCTGTTAGAGAGACACTTAAGCCTGCGGTGAGCGCCTGTCGTTTGTGCCACTTATTGAGAGCAATAGACAGGGCGAGACAGGGCGGGAGCCGGAGACAGGACAGGGCATAAATCTTTTAGCACTTATTTGACACAGTTTCAGGACACAGGAGTACACACACACACACACACACAGAGAGAGAGAGAGGTACACACACGGGGACAGAGCAGGGACATGGACGTCACATGCTCATCAATCGGTCGCTCACATTTGCTGCAACAATGCAAAGTGATGTCCATGCACCTTGAAGTGGGGCTCTGATAGAGGGTAGCAGAGTGACAGACAGACAGGCCGGCCAGACCGGGCAGATGGTGTGCCGGGATGGGGTGCCAGGGTGCCAGAAGAACTGGCAGACGATGACAGTCGAGCGATAAGCGGTCGAGTGGCTGAATCCTACTCGGAGGAGCCTCTCTCTTCCAGCCATGTTGTGACTGTTGTGACTGCCTACGGCTCGTTGTTGGCCCAACAAAGCGGCACAGAATGGCATAGGGAAAACGGAAAACAGAAAAGCGGAAAACTGCAAAGAGAGATAGAGAGAGACGGAGGGAGAGAGAGTGAGCTAGAGCCAGAGCCAGAGCCAGAGGCAGAGGCAGCACAACCTTCTTCTGTTGGCCTCATTTGACTTGTGCCTTCCCCATTCGCTTAATCCATTTAATTGCCTCTTTTTATGCCACAATTGTGGCCCCCTTGCCCCCGTTTGCTGCCACATGTGGAACGTGGAACGTGCGAAGAAATTACGCACAAGCCCCAATGAATTCATTCCATTTAAGTTCTTCAAATATTCAGTTCCAATTTGTTGGCTAATGAATATTCGTTAGAAATGCATTTGAATCGGCGTTTATTCTGACGGGGGCCACGACCCACGGCCCCCGGCCCACGCCATGTTGTCCTTGTGCCACATTGAGGCACAATCACGGCTGACAGTCGTGGCTGACTGACTGACTGACTGACTGACGTCTCGTATCAAATTATCTATAAATTGCCATTGCCCAAGCACGCCATCAATGGCAAAGGAGGAGACTGTCAGACCATCAGTTCGTGTTTCTGCTGATTGTTCCTTTTGCCCCCCTGCCCGCCCTGCCCCCCTGCCCCCCTGCCCACGACTTGTGTCGCGTGAAGTTTTTTCTTTATATTCGATTCCATTGAATGCGGATATAGGATATATAGGATATATGTATGTATGTATGTATGTGGTATGTGTATGTGCACAAACACACACGCGGGCAATCAATTTACCAAAGAAATGGAAAGAACAACAACAGCCAAAAAAATAAGCACAAGTCAAGAGCCCAGAGCCCAGAGCCCAGAGCCCTGCCTCCTGCCTCCTACCTCATGTTTCCTGCCAAGTTCTGCCTTTTGCCCGAGATTTGAATTTAATTTTGAGGTCAGACAAAGGCAAGCACTCTGCTCCACAGCTCCATGTGTTTGTGCCTCAAGTGTTGCATACATAACAACAAAAAATGCAATAAATATTTAAATTACTATATCCACATGCAGCACAGCACGCAAATGGGAAAGGAATACTCTGGAGGCGGACCAGGGACAGGGGACTGGGGACCGGCGACTGTGGAGGCCCGTGGAGCGAATAGCACTGAGGAGACTCTCTTCAAAAAGTAGGCTAAATGTGGATCGCACTACAAAATAATTAAGAGAAATGTTGCAAAGAAATTGAAATGGGTGTCGAGTGTTGTCGGGTGGGTGGGCGAATGGGGTAAGGGGGAAGGGGGGCCACGTGAAATGCTTCTGAATTGGCAAGGGATGGAAGTTTATTCTGGCAAAAAGATATATATGGATACTATAGCATTAAAGCACCTTTTGACATGGTCTTTTTTGGATGCTTTGCAGGTCAAATCTTAGGAATAGTTTATTGCCCACCCGAAGCCAAAGAGTTTTACTGCTTTGCCTTTCAAATGGTATACACTTGGCAGATTGTTTTACGGGTAGGTACTTCAAAACATACTTTGTTAGAAGTGCTTTAGATGCGAGTGTTCGTTCGAAGTTTAGCTGATTCTTAGCAGATACTTCTGATGTGCTTTGGGGACTCTTGAAGGATACTGTGTGCGGTACAAAGGTGGAAAATGGCTTGAAATAATTTTTAGATTATTGTAAATATTTTTCTCGATGTTGTTTGCAAATTGTGTGCTGTTTGCTAACGATGATTGATTTGAATTGATCATCTATCGCATTACTCGCTCTCTCTTTCTACATATGTACCTACTACATATTTTTAGTACCTCTTTCTGTTTCTTATTTATTTGCATTTATTTTATATTTAAAGCTTTACATTTTTGCACAACCATCAAGATTCCAGAAACAAACTAAACAACATCCCGCCTTAGCCGAAGCGAACAGCAATTTATATTTCGAACAACAAAAGCAGCAACAGCAAATGAACCACAACACAACAACAGCAAATTCAATGGGCAACGGGGCAACGGGGCAGCCAGCCAGACGGACAGACGGACAGAGAGACGGACAACAATCGTGTCAAGTTCAACAAAAGCTTCACCCGCAGCTCCGCTCCATTCAATCGCTGCGGCTGCGGCTGCGGCTTCGGCTTCGGCTTACAAGTTTTTACATATAAATTTCATGGCACGCACAGAAAACCGAAAACTGAAAAACCTGTTAATGCGTTTGGCCAAAAAAAAAAGATACGGACACCAGCAGCAACAACAGCTACGGCAGAGTGCACCCACGCGAGCTCCAAAAGAGAAGCTTAAGAGAGGCCTTTGGAAGAGCTGGAAGCTTTTCGAAGAGCAACCTGGAGCTTGGCAGAGCTTTGCGATCACACCAGCAAAGGGCCAAAGCGTGTGCTGGAAAAGAATGATTGAATGAAATGACAGAGATGATAATTAATAAATAATTAACAGTCTGGGCTGCGCAGCCCAATATTAGCCAATACTTAATCCAAAGATTATAGCCCGTGGTGCAGCAGTAAAGTAAGTCCGAGTTATGGCTTGTTGTAAAGTATATACACATGTACATATCCACGTACATATACATATGCTCCCGGACTGCAGCGGTCTATGCAGCTGTTCTCTCTTGTCTTCATCTCGCGCCTTTCTTTCATCTCTTCGCTTTCGCTCTCTCGATCGGACGCGCTCTAATCGAGTTCTCGCTTGCATTAGGTCACGGGCAATTCGTCTTCGGCTTCGGCCTGCCTTTGCACGACGTCTATGGCGAATAGTTCCTCAATCCGACACCGTCCGACGGGGCTTCAATTTGATCCCCTCTTGAATCGAGCTAATCATCGAACAGACTCGTCGTGCTCGAACCATTCGCTATCCCTTCGACTTCTTAGCACATTACATACCATCACCCACACTAAACCTTATTAAACGGCACAATTGTCGATTGCAAACATACACTGCAGAAAAGCTCAGGGGCTCAGCAAAGAGTATAAGAAGATGAACTGGAATGAGCTATAGAAGCCGCCTGAAGGAGAATGAGAAAACATGTAGCAAGAAAAGGGTAACAAGATTTGGAGTTGGAGTCATTCCTGGAGCGATAGCA